ATGATTTTAAACTAAAACTACACATATCAATCACACACATCAGATTTACTGGGTGAGAAACCACTATTGTTAGCTTCTAGGTTTCAGATAAAAGTCCTGCTATATCCTAGTTCACCACCATCCTCTTTACAGACTACTCTGTGATAGTCCAGGTTGTGCCAGGAGTTTTGGCAATCAAGGAGCTTAGGCAGAGCTTGGGAAACTTGATGGAAATGAATGTACAGTATAGGAGAAGCTGGTGAGGCATTGAATGTTTCTTTTGAAAATATAAATGCATGTTTTAAAATTCATTTAAATCAAGAGAATAGGTTTTTATTTCCCATTTGAACTTTATTTAAAATTATGGAAATCATTAAAATGAAGGCTCACTTGTCAAGTAGGATACACCTGAGAGATCGTTGCAGCCTTGGATTGGCACAAGACATATTTAAGCTTTCAAAAAATATAAAAAATAAAGCCAAATTAACCTCTATCTTTGTAAGCTGTCTCCTCCTTTCTTTTCTGAGTGTCAGTTTGTAGTTTTGATAAATGTCAAATGTTCCCTTTCCCCTTCCTCAGATAAAATTCTTTGCATAATCCAAGGTGATTTTCCTTACTTCCTCCAAAGATTACCTTATTGTTTTGTTTTGTTCTAATTGGAAAACCATTCTAAGATTGTAAATATACCTGACAGCTATACAAGTTTTCCTGTGTGGATTCACTTCATATAATAAATGAAGAAAGGAATGGGCATAGTTTAAAGTTCTCCTCCCATACCATCCTTCCCTTGTAATGGTGGTAGTTCATTTTAACAACTTGTAATTTTTTTTTTTAAAAACTAATGTGTAAAAACTTCTTACCTTGAGCTTATTGCATTTCTTCAGAGTTGCCTTTGGGCTGTTTTTGTAGTCACAAATATTTTCTTGCCTTGATTCTTACCTTGAACACTTACATGTGTGACCTTAGTGGCTCATTGCCATGAAATGTCAATGCTAATGCTTACCTTTGCTGCCAAAGCTATTAAATGCAAAGGAAATGTGACTGATGCAGAAATAAACGCATGGTTTAAATTAAAAAGATGCTGTGCTGTACCACATGCCGCATTCCTGTGAGGTAGGAAACCGGTAGTCAGTTTTCAGATTGCGTAATGGCCTGTAACACAAATGTAGTGGTCAGTGTTTTTTCAAACGCTGGAATTGTTTTTGGTATTCGTTTAAATTAGAAGAAAAAATCTGTTAAAGAAGGCTGTGCCTGTAAATGACAGAATGTAAAAACTATTCCAAATCAGTTACTGTAGTTTGTTTACAAAACAGAACAAATGCTTTGCTGCAGACAAAACCCTGTTTTATACTTGTGCAGGAAGTGCTTGTGTTGTGATTGAGGAGTTGCATTAAAGCTGTGAAAGGCATTAATTCTGCAAAGGGAATGAGGTTCAGTGAGCAAACATGGTTTGCTTTTTGATGGGGAGGACAGAAGAGAAAGTGAAGCAGTTCTAGAAGCATGTAAAATGCTTCAGAACTTGAATATCCTGTTTTGTTTCTGTGATTGATACTGGCGTGGTACAGAGTTGTGTATCATGTATTTATTTTGACTGTCAGAATTAATCTGAATACTCTCAACAGCATCATTATGTTTTATATTAGTCTCACTGGTTTCTCCTATGTGCTGTCAGATATGCATGATGTTTCCATTGCGAAGGATCAAATTTGATATTTATTTATTGGATTTATATCCTGCTTTTTCTTACACAAAACTCAGAGTCCCCACCTGGGTCCCAGTCCCACACTCTTAAGCGCTGCACCACACTAGCCCTCTTACCACCAGCCTTTCAATTAACAGCTACAATTTATGGTTTATTTAACCTGTGACAAGCTTTGGCTCCCAGAGGTACCATATTCCATATCCAGCCCCACTTTCAGGAGTTGTTGCTTCATATGGATCTGACAGGTGTGGGTTATGTGAGGATTAAACAACCTGCACATAAAGTTAATGCAGCATGGGTTGTGTATGGGTTTAACCCTTGCATGCTCACTAGATTTGCGTTGTATAACAACCTTTGAGCAGGGTTTACATAATAAAAATAGTGGTTTCACACACACCCTGTGTGAACCACATGGTGACCATGAGTTAAATAGCATATGGCGGACTGTCACCCTGTGTGAACATGAAGTCATTACTTACGATAGTGCTCAACAGTTTTTGAGTATGATATGAATATGCGTTTTATGAAACTGTAAATGAAGTTTGCTTGGCCTTGTGCTCTCACTTCATACAAGGGCAACCCAGTCCTCGAGAATAATGAGGAAGAATAATGTGGAAAAGAGTGGAACCCTTGCTTGATACCAGTCCTTGGGGATCAGAGCTAAAATCTCAAGTGTATGCAAGCAATCACTCATATGCTATCCCTGAGAAAATTCACCCAAGGAGTTTCTTTGTTGAGTGACACACCATGTTGCATTAATAAGCTATGTTTGCTGGGAATTAAACTAGCTTAAAAAATAGGATCTGTCAGGATTCTGTCATCTTTAGGTGGCAAGACAGATATATTCTATGTTTTATATCATAATACAACTTTTTCCCAATGTGGAATTGCTCAGACAATGAGGCAACCAGTACAGTGTTACAATAATATAAAGGTATCAAGTGCCCAGCTGTTGCATTTAATTTTCTTTTACTGATCAACAACTTTACATATCAAGGCACTTAACAAGCATCCTTTATTTCCTACATGTTTTGAAAAAAAGTGTTATCCAAAGAAAAATGAATTCATATTCTTGTTTCCTGAAGGTGGTATTTCAACAGTAATTGGTACCAATTACCAATGTTACACAGTGACAAACCCTAATGATGGTTTGCAGTTTCTTGCAACTCGAGCAGACTGTAGCCAGATTCATGTTTTTGTGCACTCCTCTTTTCCACCTGGAGAAGAGGTCAGACGCTTTCATTTCCAACTTTCCAACTAAGTTAAAGATTATTTTTGAACAGCAGTAACTGTTGTTATGCTTAACTGTGGTTAGCTAAAACAAGCCAGCTTCAAAACATCGTTTCAGAAACTTTAGTTTCACTAAAGTTAAAATTAACCACAAGTTAACGGTGATGTATCCAAAATGGAAGTGGAAGCTGCTGGTACCCGCACGGCTACACCAGAAAAGGAGAGACAGAGGCATGTGTTTTTTGCAAATCAACCATTGTTTATTGTTTACATCCCACTAGTGTAAACTCAGGAGAGAAAAGGAGTTGTTTTGAGTACTTTAACAATATATCTGTATCACGCACATACTTTTAAATACCTGTTTGTGATACCATCTATACCTTCTAGATCCTGGCTTTCAGAGGTGCATTATAAGCAACTGTGCATTGGTCTGGTATGAACCTAGCACAGGATTGCTATAGTATTATATTAATTTAGCTCCTTCTCCCCTAAAACACACTGCTTCTAGGAACTGTGAGACCATGTGAAGTTTATTTTGTACAGTCTCTCTGTAACAAGATCACTCATTAGAGATAAATTTGATGATGGTAGGGAATGGGAGTGTTGTGGGGGAAGCAATGCATCCCTGGAGTTCCAGTAGTTTGAATCCCTCTGCACCCAGTCTGTGTTCCACTTCTATCCTATTGATCATGACAGAAATAAAGGGCTGGCTTTTAAATATATGGCACCAAATTCGCATGTAATCTTGCAAACCTTCCTGCCCCCTTCCACAAGCTCTCCTCATTAAAAGTGATTGGTGGGAACCCTTGTCTAAGTAGGTATTGCAGGAGTGACCCTAAAATACTTGCATGTGTGCTTAATCTTAATGTTTCCAGGCATTACTAGCAAAGTGTGTTTATTTCCAAGCCCAAGAGTCTCTAGTTCATAAGCTTGTTTGTCAGAAATAAGTGTAAAAGGGCTGAAAAGGATGGATTGAAGCAGAAATTGCTATTTTTAAGAGGGGAGTGTTACATAAATAGAGTAGGTACCATTCTAACTAATTTTCTGAACCTAAGCCTTGAAATTTTTGGTTGCAGTTCTGCTTCAAGGAGGAAGTTTCCTGTGCTCTTACTACATTTACACCAAGAGCTGCATAAGGGAAAGGTTGAAGTGCTGACAGCTATGACAAAGTCCAGTGCCGTAATCTGTCACTAGATGAGTGAAACTATAGCGTTTGTGGCCGTCAACAAAGCATGGCACCCACTATTCATGTGTCACTTCTAAAAGACAGGAGGTGCTACCCAAAGGAGAGGAACTATCAGAAGCTGACAGTCTTCTAGACATTTAAGGTTAAATGTCTTCCTTTGAATTCAATCCATATGTATTTGTTTTGTTTTGCTTCTTGAGATCCAGATTCAGTCCTTTAACATTCTTATGCATTGCAACTGGGGGATGTGTATGCTGTGACTGACCAAGAGCAAGGTTTTTGTTTTCTCCTGCAATTAAAAACTACCGAGGTTTAAAGTGTTTTCCTATCGGAGCATTCTTTCTTTGAATTGATTCATGGAACAAAGAAATCTGTTTCCAAATAGAGGGTCACTGCAACAATACATAGATCATATGCCGTAAAATGGAAGACTACTTCAAATGCTGTGGTAGCTCTTTCCCCCCCAAAATTTAGGTCTTCATGCCTGAAGAAGACTCATATAGATGATAAGGAATGTATAGGTTCTCTTGCAGGATTTTCTGAGATTGGTTTTTTTAAAGGACACATTTCAAAACTTTCACATGCTTTACAGTGTCTGGAATCATATTCTCTTATTGGTCTTGTACATTTATCTCTCTCTTTTTCTCCAAGAAACCCAAAGCAGTTTACATAGTTCCCCTATCCCTATTTTATCCTTAATCATTTAATCTAGAGTTAGAGGATAAATCAGCATGGCAAATTCTGTATTTGTTATCATTACTACAAATGTGTATGGGTTTATCTGACTTTTTTCCTTGTCCCAAGAAATAACTTTGCCTTGGGAAACTCAGTTACTGTCCAGCCTGCTTTGATTGACATTATTCTTAACAGTACACTCTATACTACCTTCTCTTTGCACTACAGGTGCTTGAAGATGCAGAAGCTCAGCATCTGTTTCAGTCCATTTTGCCCGATATGGTGAAACTTGCGCTCTGTCTGCCAAGCATCTGCACCCAGGTTGGTAGTCCCATTTTAAGTGATTTCTCTATAGCAGATTAAATTGCTGTATGCTGTAACAAATGGTTGAGGTCAAAACGTCAAGGCCCTGCTAGGTAGTTCTAGCCCTGCTGAGTTAAGGCCAGGGAATGGTGAGGACAAGACACATTCATAACAATATAAGAGGACACTAAAAACTCCCAGTCCTATTTCTGGACATTGATTTGATCGTAGATCAGCATCTTGCATAAACTGATGTACTGAAACAGGCAGGAAGCTGTCATTTGGTTTTGGTTTTGCTTTGTTCAGGTCTTTCTAACTTATGAAGAGACTTGTCCATGAACTGTCCTCTGTCGTTGTTGCTTAAAATTACCAGTACTGCCTGCTGTTACACCTTTCCCCAATTCTATGAAAATGCTTCATTTATCACTTTGACTGTGTTCAGGCCGCACAACAACCCACATTCAAAGGTTGAGTATGACTTGCTGTTGAACTGTGGTTTGTTGTTGTTGAAATGGGGGATATATTGTATGAACCTAGCCATACTAACAAACCATAGTTTTTAACTACAAGCCATCTATCTATGAGGAGAACTCATGGTTTGTTGCCCTGCCTTTGTCTAACATAATGGTAGCAGTAAGCTTTTTTCACGACCAAGTAAAATGTTTTACTGTGAGACTCAGAATCAGTAGGATTACTCCCCCAGGTAAGAGATAAATTTGTAATTGCAAGTGCCTATTTTTTAAAAGGGCTTGGGCGGGGGAGCAGTTTTGTATTAAGAGCATAGCAACATTATGTATCGTTTAATGCTGATAAGGATGTATTTGGTGGTGAAGGTATCCTTTGGATATCTTTTGTCTGATACCACTCCGCTCTTTGGAAAGCTTTTTAAACAGCTGAAATAAATTAGCAAGCAAACCACCCAGCCACAACCCACCCTACCCTTCATGAAGAATGATGCATATTTAAAGGTGTTAAATATGTGGCTTTCCTGCACTGAATTAAACATGCTACAGGAGAGCAAAGAACCTGGCTTTGAGCCAATCTGTGAGCTTAGCCACAGGTAATCTTCTAAAAATAACTGTATAAAGGTTTTCTTAAATACTTTTTATCCAGACATCTGGCTGGAAAGTATATTTTTAGAGGAAATCTGTAAGAGAAAGGGGATTTTATTCAGCTGCTTTGCTTCTGCAAGTCACGGGAAGCAGCCCATGGTGCAGTCACGCTAATTCATATGCTGCTTCCCTTTGTATCCAGGAGCCTTCCATGTTGAGGATTTCATACAGATACTGCTCCTAACTGATAATAGCACTACTTCCCAGTGGTGATTTGTGGGAATATTTCTACACAATTTTCAGCCATTACACTTTTTCAAATTGCCATCAGAATGCACTTCCTCCCAGTGTCTTCTTGCCAGTTGCTATTCTTGCTATTTCTTTTTTGTAGTCTCTGTGCATCTCACATAAGGGCTTTGCACCAGGCAGGGCCTGTTGCCAGGGAAATTTGCCTAGCTTAAACCCATTCAGGCAGGAGCCCACAGCCCAGTTCTTTCCCAGCCATCATTTGGTGTGTTTTAAAATGTTATGCCTCACATCAAGGCTTACTGACCTCCATGGGGCCATAGAGTCAGTACTTGTGCAAATTTTATCTGTAAACTGAAATTTCGTACATTCCCATAGATCAATACTATTGTTTCTGTTGGAATCAGTTGTTTGCACTGTTTGTTCATGTATCTCATATGAACCAAATCTTATATTTTCGAATGGATCCAGCTTAAACAAATGTCTGGGAGCAACTTGGGAAGATTATGCATTCTGATGCATCTCTTGAAATCATTTGAAAAGGGTACAAGGAGTGGTGTTTTGGTGCTTTATGTTCAAACTTTAAAGGAAGACAAATACAACTGATTTCTCAAATTTTGAAAAGCTCCTGTTTGATTAAGGATAGGAAAATGACTTGATAAATCTGTAGCATATCATTAAATTAAGTATTTTTTTTTCAGCAATGATGCAATTCTCCTTTTAAAATTTACCCTTAGTGATATAACCAAAAAAATTTTCAGTAGCTTTACTAAAGAATTTAGTCTTAGATTATGTCCTGTACTAGCCTTCCAAAGCAGGTGCATTGTAGATGTGTTGGACCACAACTCCCATTATCCCTCAGCCATGCTGAACGGAAATTGTAGTCCGAAACATCTGGAAGCCACCAGGTTGGGGATGGTTGTTTATGCTCTGCGCACATTTTAGACAGAAACAGGCAGATAATGAAATTTGGGGATAAAATAACCTAACAGTTTTAGTGATGTGGAATGAAGCCTTACATGGTTTTCCTTGAACCTTGGTATTTTTTGCTCTCAGATATACAAGGAAATCAAAGAAGGCTGGAATGCTTCAGTTCCTCTCTATAGTTGTGATGCTTTGTGTATCATCATGCCATCTTGTTTTGCAGCCGTTAAGATGTGATTGCTATAATTGCCCATTTTCTTTAATCTGTGTAACAGAGAGACTGTAAAATACAGCTGTTGCATTCTCTGTGTTTTATTTTTCTTTCACCACTGCTCATATTCCATCTGTTCCTTCCATGGACATTTTAACTTGTTTGGGGCTAGTGAGGTTTTGTTTGCCATTCTTCTTGTTATTGATTATAAATGGTGGTTTGTCAAACAAGGCTCTTCCCAATCATCCTGAGTAAACAGCTCTTGACTTTAATAGTGGTGCTGATTTAAGAACCCACCAATGCCCGTAAATTACATCTGCTCTAAATTAGTAAATGTAATTTTGTTCCTTTGTTTTCTTGTTGCTGGGTAGTGTTTCATTTTGTGAATGCTAAACTAATTTCTGCCCACCTTTCTGCCCTTTTGTTAGCCAATACCTCTCCTGAAACAAAAAATGAACCACTCCATCACAATGTCACAGGAGCAGACTGCTAGTTTACTAGCAAATGCCTTCTTCTGCACTTTTCCTCGGCGAAATGCCAAGATGAAATCAGAATATTCAAGTTATCCAGATATTAATTTCAACAGGTATGCTGCCAGTTCTAGCAGATTACATTTTTAGGTGTCTTAATCTGAATCATGGTTCCCTAAACTTTTTGGACTTGTGAGCACATTTCAGAGAATTTCTGTTTTGGCATCTACCTGCTTTATCTAAGAATATGATGCTACATCTTGTTCACCTAAAAAAAAAAAGTGATATTAGACAACACAATGTCTCTTTAACAAGGAAATCCCTAATTCATTGAATTGTTTGTGGTACAATACAGCTAATATTTCTTTCAAACATATGTTTTGGTAATGTCTGGTAGCTCCTTTTTGACTCAGGGAAGTTATTTCACAGATAATTTTTGTACTGGATTGTATTCACTCTTTTTGTATGTTCTTTTAAATTATGTACTTTTGGGGGAGAATTAGCAAATAGTCAATTCAAATAGATTCCCTATACCCTATTGATAATAAAATAGCCAATATTACAATATTGGAAGGCAAAGCACTCTCTGTAATGTGATTGAGTATAATGCCTTCGGTGGACAGCGTAAAAGATGCAGACTTCTGTGTGCATCTCATACAAATCCATGCACGTATACTTAAAAGGGGGGAAGTTAAAACATTATAAATCTCAGCAGCCCACAGGTACCACATTTGGGTGCCATTGGAGACGTCCTTGGGTGTTGCATTGCAGATTCCTGATTTACAAAAAAAAAACCTATTGTCCTTTCTTATGTCACTAATTTACTTGATAGGTTCCCGAAATTAAAAAAGGAAACAGAGTAGAACAACCCTTCCTTGTTTCTGCCACAGTCATCACAGCATAGATGCCTTTGGATAAAAGAATGCCATCCAAAATACATTCAGGAATCAGGGTAGGCAGCATTTTTTCCATCTCCCAGAAAGATACTCAGGGCTCTGGACATGTCCCCTCCCCCACTGGTCACAATGTCCTTGACTTTTGCCCACCCACCCCTTCCTGAGACTACTCAGGAACATGGGAAAATACGCCCTTACCCATGTACCCTTTTGTTCTCACATACTTTTGAGAGCTTTTAGAAGTAGAGCTTTTTAAAAAAAAAAAAAAAAAGGCTGGCCAATGTAGTTTGTACAGAGAAATACAAAGATTGTATATTTATATTTATATGTCCATACCACCCTGTTGTCGCCTTGCCTGGCTCCCTGTTTTCAAAAGAACAAAACAAACCTCTGTCTGACATACGTTAAAAGCATGAAATGTGTGTGTACTTTAACACCTTCCTGAGCACTTAGAGTTAGAAATGGATCTGTTGGGTGCACTGTGTGTTGTGAGCACAGCACCCAGCCCACCATTTCTTGTTGCCAGAGCAGGTTAACATGATGCGAAGAACTGCCCATTTGTTCCAGGAGCTGAGAGAGGGGCTGGTAGAACAACAAGAGGAATTTGTGAACATGTGGAACAAACTAAATCAATGTGTCATGTGGATTACAGATTTATTTTTGGCTATATATTTCTGTGTGGAGCATGGGATATAGCACTTTTGGGGGTGCACAGTTAATTATGTGGTATTTTATGCAGGTGGTAAGTAGCAGAATTTTTTTTAATGCTATAGGTGCATTGTTTTAGCTCTGCAAACAACAATTGCATACATATGTGCAGGAAACATGTAGTGTATTATCCTTCGACTGTAGGGTTATGGCAAACTGTAACTTAAGTAGAATTATAGAAGGCATTTCCTTTGCACTTGCACCCTCTTTCCAAAATTAATTAATAACTGAAGGTTGAGACTTGCATAAAACAAATCTAGCTTTTTTGACAGTTGGAAATATACCTACTCTCAGAAAATATATTTTCTAGATTGTATAGAGCTGGACCATTTTAGGTAATAAAATGAAATGGCACTTTTAATATGCACATATTAAATTTTTAAAAAAACTCTGCATTTGCTGACTTCAGTTTTGACAGGACCATCAATCTATTTTATCAAAGCAACAGACACTTGGTACAAAAGGTTGAGAACACTGTATTTTATTTTCCTTAAACGTTCTCAGCTATACCATTGCTTGGCAGTCTTACAGGCTGATGACAGCAGGCGATTATAAGTTTTTTTTTTTAAACATTCATCTGGCAACACTGCTTGGAAATGTTATGTATTGAGCCTGGAACATAGGTCACTTTGTCTTTGTGTAATAGAATGCTTTCACATAGCAGCTGCTCCCCAGTAATGGGAGTGACAACACAGGAAGTGCAACAGGAAGCCTTTCAAAGATGAGCAAGGTGTTCTGGTTCAGCCTGACACCTTTGAACACTTACTTTGGAATATCCCTCATTAAACACAGTGAGATTTTCTTTTGAGTTCAGACTTTGAGTGTAAGGAGTCATTCCGTTTCTAATTTTCCCTTCAGTCTCTGTTGCCAGTTCCACTTTGACTTATTCCAACAGTAAATTTTACATCTTGTTCCATATTTAGAATGTAATTTCTGCGAAAAAATGAAAGATCAGTTTAAATTTTACCTGGTATGAATCAACCCATCCTCTGTACACTTGAAAAATGTGCATTCTGAGAACATTTTATAAACCATCTATGATAAGTCAGATGTGCTTTATTTTTCCTGCAAAATATTTTAGGAACTCAGGTAGATGAGTGGATGGTTTGTGTGGATGCTTTTTTGCTTTTGTCTTGGAGATTTAAGGAATCATTATTACTCACAGTATAATCCTATGCACATCTATTCAAAAGTAATTCCCTTGAGTTCATTGGGGCTTATTCCCAGGTAAGTGGGTACAAGATTCCAGTCTCAAAGTAGTTTCTCTAAAAAAATAGGAGATCATTTTCTGAGAGCAAGAGTAGAAGATGTTCCTGCTTGCATACTAACACGTGTCCAGTGTGAGCGCACCGAGGTCGCATCTGTCTGCACATAAGCAAGAAGAAAGGATGCTCATATGTCTCTGGTTATTAGAGATGAGAACTTGTGTAGTAAGCAATATGTACTACTTCAGAAAATAAACTTCTTCAGGTCAAGAGAAGTTTGGTTATAATAGGACCAATTGTGGGATCAGTAGCTGTATAATTACTGTCTCTCTTCTTCCTTCCCCACTTAGAAAGGATCAAACATTAGAAGAGCTGTTGTACCCACCCACCCTTCCTGGAAGCAATCATTTTCTCCCATAAAGCATATTGTATTTGCATAAGGTTGAAAATAGCTTGTTAATAATGGTTAGAGTACAATTTTGGACATGCGTTTGTATATAAAGCTTAGACCAGAGTATGCTGCTTTTGTTAAAGGTAGCAAATGAAACCGTAGCAACACTTTTGTAATCCCTAATGTCATTTTAGTCCCAACAAGGGAAGCTTCTGAACTACTTAAAAAAAAAAAAAAAAAAAACCAAGATGGGGAAAATGTTTACTGGTTAAGATACATCTGTCTTTATGGAATAGTTTTAAGAAAGGAAATTATTGTCCTGCATATTCTGTTTATACAGGGAAATTGTAATCTGATTTAGTTATAATGTAATTCTCTCTTCGCATAAACATCAGTTTGATAGCATTATCGAGTATTCCCTATGGAGTTAATTTTTTCATCTAAATATTTCATCTGAGCTAATCTGATTAGGGAATTAGGCTTCACATTTAAAAAAAGAGACTATCTCTGGTTCCCTCCTGCATGTTAGTCACTCTGCAACACCTACATGTTTTCAGGAGTAAGTACGACTCACTGGTTAATGATAAGCTGGTTTAAAGACCTGCCTTGGTGATAGCAGAGCAACTGAAGAAGGTGGAAGTTAAATTAAATTCATTCAATAGTTATTCTTACTTAGAGCTGTAAATTATCTATCTAATGTTTCTTTGTAGACAACATTAATTGTAGCATCAGTTACAGCCTATGAAAGCATTGGATAAGTAGGCTGTTAGCCAGACAAAATCAGGGCACTTTGACTTGTATTTTTTAAGGTGTTCTTTTTGATGCGCCAAGGTAAAGGGTCTTATAATGGCTAGTTTGAAGCTTTTGGAGTTCTGGAAAAAGGTGTAAAGGGAAGTCTGCCTGTAACAGGGAGCAACTAGTTCCAAGTATTCACTGGCTAGCCCTTTAAGGCACAGGATAACTCCTAGAATAGTAAACATTGTAGGTAGGGTCCCTAGTATGTGACAGAATGTGACCTAGATGCTACTGTACCATAAATTTCAACACACCTGCTTATCTTATAAAAACCTGACCAACCACTCTTAAGTAGTGGAGTACATCATGTTGCTTATTGGTGCAGTGGTAGGATTTTTAAAGATGGATGCTGATTCCTGGCTTTGTGAGGGTCTCCAAGTACACTGCCTGTCTCTCCTCAGTTGTGAAAAAGTAGAACTGGATTCACCAAAGCAACATGCACACAGCCATCTTTTTGCCTCAAGGTTGTGGGCGTCTAAGGTTTGATACTGTGGCACATCTGCAGCTAGCCACATTCCTTCCCAGCCCTCTGCATACATGCACGAAACAGACCTTGCTAGACTCACACATCTTAAGATAGCACCCTTCTCCTTTCCAGCACTCTTTGCTCTACAGTATCCCTTTTGTACAAGCCCTTTGTACTTTCATTCTCTTGGGGCGTGACTTATCCACGTCCTTTCCATTATGAAACATTTTATTGGTTTCGAAGTGAATTTACAGCATTATTTTGCAGAACAAATGTAGTTTTATATATGGGTTTACATACAGATGATGGGTTTGGAACTTTAGGAAGTGGAGAAGTGATAATATGGTGTTTACAATACATGGGTTTTGGCTTGATTTTGGTTTATTTTTATGAACAATAAACCAACCCAGTCTTTCATCCCATTCATAATTTATCATGTGGTTCAGACCCAAACATGCTATGCTGGTTCTTTTTTTACCTGTACACATGATCTCATATTCTGTGTTAACACACTAGCATGTGAACATGACATCAACAGCAATTAGAAAACCATAGGTGAGAGACTGCTGCTTAGTCATACAGTATTGGTACTGTGAGTATCAGTAGATAATATATATGGGAGGAAATGACTTTGATGGTAAAATAGGATGAAATACTGTACCTTACTTTTAGCTATAACAGTTTGCTTTGTTGTGTGGAGGCAATATTGCACTTGACACTTTGTTGACTGAGTACATATGACAAGATATTGCCTTTGAGGTTAAACGGTTGAGGTGTGTTCCTTAAGTTTTAAGCCATGGGAATCGAAAATCTCTAAGCTACTTTCTATGTAAATAGAGAAATTCAAGCTCATTTACTTAATTAACTTGAGAAGATTTTCAGCCATAACCAAGAGGTTGCTTTCTACAGCAATTTGTGTGTGACATTGTTTTGAAGCTGCCCTGAGGCTTTCTCATCAGAAAGCTTCTCATCTAATTGGATAGTGAAAAACTCATGTCTCTTAATTATATAAAAATAGTAAACTGTAAACATCCATTTTATGCTCAATTGAACGCCTAATTCAGTTCTGGATGTGAAAGACAGAGCTTTTTGAAAAACAGCCACTGAAATCTGCATTCACTTGCTAATATAGGCTCCAGACTTAATCATAATAAACAATGAAATCAATGGGACTTAAATAATTATGACCAACTTTAAATTCGTTGATTTCAATAGGTCTGCTTTTATAAGTTTGGATTCCACTCACAAGCAATGCCAATAGCTCTTTTCACCAGCCCTACACTTCACCAGCCAAAAAGGGGGTGGTTGAGAAGCAAATTTAAGAATTTATTTATTTTGCCAAAATAGGCATAACTAGCATACAAGCCAACTAACACTTTTTCTGTGCCTACTTGAACAGCTCGAGGCAAATGGAATCAAGGAAAAAGATAGTTTTTAGAGGGTAGATTTATTTCTAAAGAAAAGTTGTAAGAGTTACAAAGGAGTCGAATTACTCCGGATTGGTATGCTCAACAGATTTGCTGTGGTTTTAGGTAATGGATGCTTCATTGGCAACTTGAGGCTTCACACAGTGAATCAGTTTGGGACGGGGGGGGGTGGGGACTTAGAGGGATATGTTATGAGTTATGAAACCTAATGTGGACCAGAAGGACAGTTACATACTTAAAGCACCACTGTAAACAGAGATCTGATATTAACAAACTTCATTGCTGGGGGAAGAGTGGAGAGAGAATTAGGGCACATGATTACATCCATTTCTGAAACAGAGTAAATAATTTAAATATAAAAATGGGTCAAGGGCATACATTGCAATATTCCACTCATTTCTTGCAGTTGATACCATTTTGAACACACTTTTTAAAAAGTACTTTGATTTCCTTTGGCAAACATTTTAAGAAGTCATTTCCTTTGCAAATGTTCCTTTTGAAATGTGGAGTTGTTATTACGGTGACCTGACCAAAGAGAAAAGCATGATGAGCACTCATAGTGGCAAACAAAACATGCAATTAAAAAAATTCAGACCATGAACCAACAATAGAAACAGCCAGAGCACCACAAAGCATAATTTCCCTCCAAGCAGATTATTAAGCAAAGGATCAACCAATAAACCAGGAAACAGCTGGGCCATGGAATTCAAAGCAACCCAAATGACAGCAGTAACTGGACATTGTATTGTTGAGTTCCTTAGAGTGTGTCTCTGACGGACCTCTAGTGTGGTCTCCTGTCTCTGCATTATTTCAGAATATTTAAATATCTATATAAAGGTCTTCAACTTGGTTAATAGTGGTATATGTATTTAAAAGCTGGAAGGTCAAAGATGATTCAAGCAGCCATGTGCAGTTTGACAGAGCATCTTACATTAGGCAAAACTGGCTGACTAGAGGGAAATAATGCAACTGCAAGTAATGTATTAATTACTATAATGCAAAGCACTGTTCTATAATTAGATGGATGTTTTAAGATACTTGTTTTTTCTGACAGTATTAGTGAATTGATTCTCTGAATTCCAGTCAGGAAAATGCTTTGGAATTGGGCTGAGGCATAGGCTGAGAAAGCAAAGTAAAATATGTACAGCCACACAACAGTAGGTAAGCCCACCCTTCTAAAACTATTATGATTGTCCCCCTGCCTCATTCTTTTTGAGTGTTACCCAAACAATGTGGCATCAGTGAGATTTTAACATTGAACCAATGTGTTAATTAACTTTGGTTGAAGCCTCTAACGTTTGAGTTTCCCTTTTCTGTTGTTGGAACAATTTAAAAGATGCTTAGCTCATATTTTTAATACTTAGGCCTGTGCACAAAAATTGAGAGCCTTATCATGGGATCTAACATGGGGCTTTCCAGAAGTACTGGATGACAAAAGTTGAGTTAGAATACATCAACAGTTTCTATAGCCTGAATAGAGACTGGGATGGGGGATGTTAGCACACCACATGTGTTGATTGGCTTATATAGTACCAGGATGTTTGCATTATTATCAGTGAAAAGTGTCTTTAAATGTCTGCTGTTGATATTGTGATATTGTTAATGTCAGTATCCTCTATGATCAGGATCTCCTTTGATCTTGCTTCCCCACCCCCACCATAAGTACCATATATTTAATGCATCTGATGAGGTGGGCTACAGTCCCAGAAAGCATCCGTCAGAATAAATTTGTTCATTTTTACCATGTAATAAGATAATCTCTTAGTTTTTCAAGTATTTGTAGTTTTCTTGCTGTTGGCTATGGCAGAAAGTCCTCGCAATTTTATCTGGCTCTTTCTAGCAACAGTCTGATTCTGTGTACCCAGAAAAACATGGCTCCCATAAGGTTTTGTGTTTGGTTTTTGTGCTCGATTCAGGGGCACGGGGTGCCAAATGTTATGATCTGGACAACTCTTCTCTCACATTCAACACTCCTGCCTTTTCCTGGTGTTTAAAGATGTGAATGGGAATATAATGGGAACCAAGCAAATGAATTGAGTATTTGTTGTTATGTGATATTGCTATGGGTTAACCCTGCACCATGGTTTAACTATGGGTTTCTAATCATAAAATACTCCCAAGTTCATAACGCAACAACAAACCTCAGTTGTTCATGCTTCATAACCACATAGTTAAGCCATAGTGTGGGGTTTACATGCAGTGACAACCTATGATTCAGCCACAACCCATACACAACCATATGCTGTGATATCATTACATAGGAACTAGGCTACAATTTAACTCACATTAAAAGTCCAGCAAGATGAAAATGTCTTAAGATAAAAAAAATATTTGTTTCCCCTATAAGCTGATTTCCAAGAATAGCTAAACTGCAGGTTCACTTTTTGGTTCCCTAGCCACTACCTTGATTGAATAAGTATTTCTAAATAAAATTGATATTTTAAGGTTAGATCCTTTTTCATTTCATAGAGTTCATGTCAGCCAAATATTACAAACCCACTACATTCATTTCTGTGCTAGAAAACTGACTTGAACTGCAGGTACGTGTGGGTTGCATAAATGCTGGTCTGCCTTTCTATCACATGGTATTAGCTGACTGCTATTACCTCACTTTCCATTTCCAGTTAACATTTCAGTATTTCAAGAAAAGGTTTTAAAAAAAAAGAGAGAGAGAGGGAGAGATTGCATCCCCAAAGGTCTTTTGCCGTATCTGTCCACTTTTAGTGAACATGGTACTAGAGGCATCCAGCTTCTAAAGTCCCTCAGTTTTCCCCTCCAGGCAAATTGCATTATGTGTTACCCATAAAGATGATTTCATTTTCTACAGAATCAAATTAAGCAATATAAGTGCAGGTTTCTGGAAGGTGGATGACGCAGTAAAAAATATTATAAAAGTATGTGCTCGCTTCATGGCTAAAAATAGAGGATGTCTCTTATGCTGACTTTCTTAAAAGCATTTCTTTAAGAATCACTTGATAATGCTAGAGAGTCATTTTTCTAAAGCTTTAAAATGCAATGAAAAAATGAAATGGCATAGTTTCTCAAGCAGTGAAATGTATAAAGGATAAATCTGTTTTTTCTCCTTCCTTAACATAGCTATTACAGTGTAAGTAAATAAAAATAAATTTTGTCTTAAGGAAGATGTAGATAGTACTTGAGATATTCAGAAATTAGATTCTTTATGATTTATGATTAAAACCAACACAGATGTCACCATTGCTGGCAAACCACAAACACAACTGTGTGGGCATGTCATGAGCGGAGCCAACTGGATCTGGGGGTCAGAATAGATCTCCTGGGAGGCCCCTTCTTACTTGCTCTGTTTCTATGTTTCTAACCTGTGCAGTGTTAATGTCTGAAGAACTAATTTAGCTGAGGTCATTACTTCTCTTCCATGAACAGGAAAATTCAACTGTTCCCTGATCATGAAAGGTAGCAGTCTTACTTACTGGTTGTAATTCAACCTAGGAAACTAGCAGGCAAATAATAATTAATGTTCAACAATTATGTGACTGTTCTGTGGGAAATACTGGCATTCTTCTAGCACATTTTAACAAATGTGGTGTGAAGAAAGTTGAGCTGTTTCTGTGACATGACTGTCCTCGGGTAATTGAAGGTGGCATGTGGTCACCACTTTGAATATACAACCTCTGCTCAGGGATTGTTGTGTGAACCTGCAGAGTACAGGTTATGTAACGGTTAAACAATTCGGAAACAGACCATGGTTTGTGTGACATTTGTTTCACCTTATTATCACAACTAGCATTTGTTGGGTTTGCATGACATGGCAATTTCCAAATGGGTTTATATATGCGAACCGGCAAATTTAGTCTTCACCTTGTCATTGTGATCTCAGCCTATGAGGAGCCATGCCAGGCATGTGTCCTGGACCATTTCTGGCTTTTGGAACTTTTAAAAAAATGTCAGTTTCTTTGGTATGTGAGGAACTGATATGTCAGAGCTAATACTGGACTGTCTCATGTTGACAAGATTTGCTTAATGTTCACATTTAGTTATATATAGTTGTAACAGGCTATAACTAATAAACCTGTTAATTTGGTCACTATTTCTTGCTGCCTTTTAGTTGCTGACATAACATTAATCATTTCTATTTATTCTTTTCTTAGGCTGTTTGAAGGCCGTTCACCAAGGAAGCCTGAGAAACTGAAAACCCTTTTCTGCTACTTCAGAAGAGTCACAGAGAAAAGTAAGAATGTCTTTTTAATCTAGTCGTCTTTCTATACCATGAGTTATGTAGTTCTGCCTGACCAATAAACAGATTTGTGCTAAATATTACTTATTAAGTACCTAAAGCTTATTTGGCCCTATGTCATAGTACTTATGGCAAGAAATATAATGACAAAACTATAAAGATGAATCTCAAGAAGTGCATATTCAAATATTACTGTGTCCCTCAAGATTTTATCTGGTCTGGGAAATGGGGTGGATACTTAGATTATACAGACCTTCTCTACAGGAGGAATGTAAAAATGTTGCACAGAATCACATGTTTATTGTGAAAATTGGACTTCCTGGCCCCTGTAACAGTGACAGTAAGAACAGGAGAAACGCATCCACCATTGTATCCTTACAGTTGCTATCCAGTAGAACTTTCTGAATGGTTAGAGGTCTTTTGTAATCTGACCCAGTTTAAGATACAGAGGAACTATTGACAACATGTTGTAGCATGTTTGCAAGATATCTTGAGGACAAAACTGTTTGCATCTGTAACAATGTGTATAGTAACCATTAATGTGGGTCAATGCAGGTTAAAGTAACCAGTACACCATATGGGCCTATATTATCAGATGCATTCAAGGACTTAGACCTAAAGAGAGGTAAACAGGATGCTTAGTTAAGTTGGGCCAACTACTGCCCTCTTGTCTCTCTTGGCTACCACAGGGAAAGTATGAATTGTTGGGTTCAGGAGTAGTGAATGCACTACTGAGAAAAGGTGCAGTCCTTTTAAAAAGAGGCTGTGATACGATTGCTCCTGAAGAACAAACTTTCTTTGGACTCAAAGACTTTGAACAGCCATCAGCTGGTACCTAACACCTCTATATTCAGCAAGGTGCTTGAGACAGTGATTGACAGCTGACTACAATTGCTTTTGAATACCCAGATTTTTTTAGCCCTATATGAGTCAGGCTTTATTCTCGAATCAGTTTAATGAATGATCAGTGTTCTATAATTCATCCTTTAAATTAAATATCCTATTCCTAAATTTGTGAGTAGAAATGGGAAGACTTATTTGTGCTATTATTCTTAGCAACTGAAACTCAAAAGCTTTATTTTCAGAAGTTGAATGTTTAATTTGTGAAATATTCTCCAATAATATGGAAATTCTCATACACATTTTTTCCTGAATCCCTTATAACGTCTGATATGATAACAGGACACTTTAAATGTTTCTGATAAAATACTTTGTCAGAATATTGCATGCCCATTTTCTTCATACAGTAGTTCAAACATCAATATGCTAAACCATAGCAAAGTGTAAGAGATAACACATTTCTAGTGAAATAAAATAGTCTTGTTACATATTTTGGAGTGCAGTCCCTTCATGCTTATTCAGAAGCCTAACTAGGTCTCATGACTCTTACTTCCAGAAAAGTGTACGTGGGTCTTCAGCCTTGATTTGACTAAAACTGTTATGGTTATACAGGGCCTTTCTTTCAAAATGTTACTGCCAGTAACTAAGGCTTAACAGAGGAATTTCAACCATTTAGAATGGGAGAAAAAGATTGAAAATCTGGGAAACCATCAGACAATAATTGAAATGGGGATGAGGTCAGGAGAAGGGGCTGTTAACACCTAAGGGACACCAGAAGACTGAATTTGGCCCCAAGTCTGAGGTTCTGCACCTGTGAACTAGTGGCTTTTACCTACTGATTAGCACCCATCAATGGAACAAATTTCTGGGCAGTTCCCCTGCACACACAACTGAGTCTGCTTCAGGAAGTGCATTCTTGTCCTCCAGGTAAAAAACAATACTTTCCAAAAATAAAAATCAGGGAATCATATGTACCTGTTTGATGTGTTTGCTTATAGAACCCACTGGATTGGTAACATTTACAAGACAGTGTCTGCAGGAATTTCCTGATTGGGAAAGGTAAGTTACTGTTTTTTAAGGGACCTCATTTTGATAGTGGCTATTTTACCCAAACACAGTAATTGTGTGGGATTTGAGAATTTCTCCTGAATTCCCTTAAAGCTCTGAAACCTAGGCATCATTAGGAGCTAATATTTAAAAAATTTTGAAACAATCTATTTTTCCTTCTTCATCCAGGATTGTGGGATAGCTTTTATGTTAGTGAAATGTACAGCTGGCTGTTCACATGTAACTTTTTCTCAGATACATGGGCAGCTTCACTCTGCCCAGGTGTACATAATTCAGGCACAATGAACATAAACATCTTATTCACTGTAAGACCCAAAAAAATAGAATGACTCACCCATAGCATTTCCATGGGTTATAAATGGCTTTTAGGGGGATAATTCTGATTTTGTTTTATCAGGTTCTGCTGTACAGTTTCAGTTTCACTTGTATCTCTTAAGACACACTGGATTTAGCAGTTTAAGTTACAAAAGTTTATGATATGGATTGGGTCACATGTTGGTAAGGTGATTTTTTTTTTTTTGGAGAGCACAAAATGTACACACACAAAGATGTACACACTTTCTGCCTGCCTGCTTGTGGCATCTGTTTCATATATCAACATAGAATTATATGTTTATTTACTTATGCCCCTTGCTTATGTAAAATGACAAATTATATTTGTTACCAAACAAACAGCAGAATGAGAAATGTTATGTTATACATTGCAAATGGCATAAAAGAAATTTCTCAGTCCTGCCATTTCTCCACTCTCCTCTAGTTAGCACATGATAAATGGATACCTAAACCCTAAAGGGCATATAGGAGATGCCATTTCAGAAGATGTTTCTTAGTGAGAGTAATTACTCAGGATGAGAATTGACATTGCTTTCCCTTGGTGCTCATTGCTTGAGTAATCTTGTTCTGCCTCTTACAAAGAGATGGGTTTCTAGAGATAATGATGCTGCCGTCAATTTGTAAGAGACAGAGGCTTTTTTAGCACAAGAAAACATTGCACATACAGCACAGTTGTGGAAATAAAATTGTAAATAACGTAGAACATTAGGAAGTTCTTTTTTTTCTAATTAATTGGGGTAGAATGTGATTTTAAAGCCTAGGTTCTAGAAAAAAGTATAATTAGTTCTAAGAGTTCATTTTTAAAAAGAAATTTCAGCTGCTTATATTGTGCCAAGTTCTACTGCTGCACTTCTGGAAGCTTTTTATCATTCAAGCTTCTTAAAAGAGGGAATTAAAAACCTAAAGGTGTCTTAGCTCACCTTGCTTCTTTTTCATATGCTTCCATTCTATGTTGGCTCTTCATTCTGCTAAAAGAGAAGTTCTGAAAGCTAAAATTAGAAATAAGACCACTAACGTCTATGACCTTTTCTATTTTGTATGTCTTTCTGTGTGAGGCTGATGCTATCATAAGAAAGGTCCAGGTGCAGGCTGTATGCTTGAATATCAATCATATGCTTGTCGATTATTGTGGGGTTTTCAGTGAGTTTCAACTCTTGCATCATGAGGCTATACATTTTTACTCCAAAGAAAATCCTAGGATTCCATCCGATGCCTGCTTAGACAGAAATAGGCCTCACAACTCAAAGCATTCCCTAAGCAGAATAGCTAGGAAATATTGGGAATAGTAGGAATTTTCCTGTCAAAATGATCACAGGATTTCAACCTTACTTTAAGTGATACTCTCTCCCAAAGACACATGTATAGGATTGCAGTGAACAATGGATATGGAAATAGTCTCAGGTCTTACAAACCATGTTGCTTTTTTGTTTTCAGAATCTTCCACTAACTGATAAAACTGATTCTATGTAGTTAAGTGCATTTTAATAATCAGATGATAATATGTTTTTATTAAGCTCAGTGAACCTAAGCAGCCGGATGCTTTCAAAATGGAGAATTTAAATTACTTTTCCTGTTTTGTGTTTCTTGGAAGCTAGAGTCGATGTCTCCCTTTACTCGCCTTTTTTCTAAGCCTCTCCTCATACAGGAAATGCTGTAGCACTGTGATCATCATGGGGCTGGAGCATGCCATTTATACTAGAATAAGCTGCCATTCATCTCCCTCCATCTCTTAAGGAACTCTTTGTTTGGCCAGCAAATAACATGAAGTGATGGATCATTGGGAAGTGATGTTACTGTACCCCAGCCAGTGACCAGTGCAGTGAAATACATCATGTAAGGCCTCCATATGGCCTCCTTCATAAACCTGTGGTATATTACTTATCCTACACCTGCCTGCTGCCTCTATACTTTGCTTAAGTTCTCATAAAATACTACATGGTGCTTTAGTAAAGGCTGACAGCTTGTACTCATAACAAACTACATGGTTTGCGTGTAGTCTACCGAATCAGCACTATGTGCAACCCATCCTTTGTACTTACTTTCTGCTGTAGCAGCTTGTGAAATGGAACAGTAAATTTTTACGACTTTGTATAGATTGATTGGCCATGGACATTTTATTTGAACATGTTCACATTTTTTAAAAAAAATACTCATTCATCTCTATGGAGTGCTTGCACTTATTTCATTACAGAAGTCAGAGAAAAGTGTCCAGGCTGCATGTCACGTATGAAGGTACTATTGAGAGCAATGGGCATGGCATGCTACAGGTAAGAACAGACTCATGCATAGGTTTGTGCTATACTCGTGCTGAATTTGGATCATTCACTTGTGCCCTAGGTTGTGTGAAAGTAACAAACCATTATGCAGTCTAACAGGCACAGCAGAATTGATTGTTCTGACAGCCTTAACATTATCTGTTGTCTCCAGTTCACCTTGTTTTCCACATTTGTGCCCTGTTGAAAAATCTTCTGATTGACAGTCATAAGACCTGGACAGCTCCAGGTTCTTCAGGTCAAGCAGAAATTGACGAGTGACAGGAGAGAGGCTTCCAGGGTATGAACAAGACAGGCTGCCAATTTTCTGTTTGAAAAAAAGGAAGTGATGTTATTATACCCCAGCTAGTGACCAGTGCAGGAGTTCAGGAAGCTTTGTCTGCTGTTGGTGGAATTGTTTTGGTCTGAGAGCCAGTCACCTAAAATAAACTGGTGAGAAGTTATGAAATTTCACTTCCAAATATACAAGCATTTTTAAAAAGTCAGAAGCAAAGTTAGATTTTAAAGTGCTGTGTAAAGTATTGTGTCTTGTTTTTTCAATACCTTTCTGTATTGTCCCTTTCAAATATAAGGGCCCCTTCTCTGTCTCATGATGCCAAAGCAGAAGGAGTTATACTAGTCTAGTTGTCTTCAGCACAGTCTTTTAGAATATTTTCCTGCATAACCTTCAATAAATGGTAGCTGTGTGAGACCATTATTGTTTGTGTACCTCTGTTTACTGTAATGAGGTTTGCCTGGGTGAACATTCCAGAAGATTGTTTACACAGATAATTAACAAGGCATAATCAACTTAAACCCAAGGAATGCTTTATAAATTGACACCCTCGCTGTCTCGTATGCTTGCTAAAACAGCAAAATGTTGCAGATGATCATCTTCTGGACCTGTTAGAAACAATTCGTTAAATTTGTGGTGAAGGACTTTTTGAAAGCTTCCAAAACAGAAAATAACAGCCACTTCTTTACCAGCACAGTCTTAATAGAGAACATGAGATAACAGTTCCCTGCCCTTTTTGGAGGCTAGGCTATTGTGAGAACACTAAGCCTGAGATCATTAAACAGCTTATAAACAGGAATAGGGGGATAGAATCAATTATAATTCACAATAAAACATGAAGAGTAAATTAAATATATATAAACTTGTTTATATTTAGTATAAACTAAAAGTCAAGTACAGATGATTTATTTTGTAGTGTTAAGAAAATGCAGAAAGTGCATGCAGATATTCACAATGGTAGTAGTATATTGCTAATTGCTAGCATAATTACGTGATCTCACTATCATTTTCATTAAACTGTCTCTCCTGCCATTTACTAATCTAGTTCATTGGCTTATTATCATGAATTAAATTAGTATGGTTCTGAGAAAGGAGACTATACCAGTCTGTTATGCTGATACAGAACCCAGTTTAATGGGGTTTTGAGCTTGATTAGAATCTTTGGGTACTACAACAGTATGCAAAATGAATGTAATTAGACAACAGTTAATAGATTTATAGTTGATGAATTATACCATTGTAATTGGTGACTGATTTTAGTACTGCTCAGGTAATGGCTGCAATGCGAGGCAGGAAGGGGAGGGTCTCTTTAATAGGATGCTATTTGAAGGCTTTGCAGTTTGCTGCTCCCAATTCTTCTGTGACCTTGAGCACCTAGTTTTTCATGCCCCCATTTCTGAAGTCGGGGTGTATTCTAGCTAAACCAGATAAAGTGGCACTGGTCTAATCCATCCTGGCAAATCATCCTGTCACTCATTTCCTTGAAACATAAGGCCATTTTCCAGTGTTATTAATATTTTCTCCTGAACTATGCACAAAAACCAAGCGGCATTTTAAAATCACAAAGCAATATTAAATCTTCTCCCAAGCCACTTAAAACTGTAGGCCTGGAGGGAGACGGAAAATATTTTATAATGCATTTGTTGTACTGTATAAATTTGCATTGTATGCACCCAGAACAATCTCACCTGAGAGATTTGATTGTCAGTCCCATTTCAGTCACTTGGCTTTCTGATCCTGCATAAACAGAACAAATCCCTCTACTTGGATAAACTGAGAGTAAATATTAAAAAGAGCTCTCTTGAGTTTTACACATTCAATAATTTGAACAATGCTTCAACCACAAATGTCTTCCAGCATTTATCTTTTAGCCCTCATTATCTTTTAAATGATTCAGCTAATTATTTATTAATTGATTCAAACATGTATAGCCTGTTCTTCTGTACAGTTTATCAGGGCAGTTTACAAAACTCCAAACTGAAACAATGTCATAACTTGCAACACTTTAAGAAAAATAAAATGGCAGAAAATAAGCTTAAATTCTGAGCTGACACTTATTTTTCATGGGGGGGGGGCGGGATCTGCCTGGGAAAAAAACCCCTTTGTCATCCCAAAGCTGACAATATATAGCCCAGGCCAGGCTCCATGGTAAGGCAATTTCACAGACAGGGAACCAACATCATGGGGTCTTTCTCCTGTTGCTGCCCATTACACTTCATCTGACAGTAGAAGATCCTCTGATGAGACCCTTAGTGCTCAGACAGATTAGTTAATTTTTCTGCTTAATTGGGCTAATTGATTTGACTGAGGAAAACTGTAAGCACTCATAAAGTAGACTGATCATTACTAAAAGCAGAATGGGGTACTGATCCTTTGGGTTTCCTACATGCTATTTAGCGCACAAAAAGCCAAGGGCATACACTTTGGCACTTCCATCATGGATAAAGTTTTTATGCCTTTCAGTTGTCTTCAGTCATACAATTACTTACATATCTATAAATCTAAAAGTACTGCTAGACACATAAGTTGCTGATAGCCAAGTATTTAAGGGTAATATCCAAAGGTGCCTTTCCACAAACTCACATAGTGCTAGGAGAACGCCAGTGACTTTCTATTGTGCAAGCAGTTGTGAGCATAATGTCTAACTAGCCTTGCAAAAATGTAACTTTAGTTAGGTTCTCCACTTGCACATAGCACCTGGTTTCCGCTACTAAAATGTGGTTTTCTGAGATTGTGGACAGAAACTGATTTCTCCCAGTCAGTGTTCCAGCTTCTTTCCTTCTCCCTTCCTGGAACCTAATCCAAAACTGGCCTTATAGAGAAAATACCTGGTTCAAAGCCTGGTGGTGGCAGAGGGTACCACCCAAAGCCCCGGAGTGCAGTGGTTTATGTGCATCTGCCTTTGCAGCAATAGGAGCGCACCTTCAGGGAACTTTCCTATTGTCCATGCCAATTCAGATCAACAGTTGCAGGTTGTAATCGATTCTCCTCGGGTATGTACAGATAGTTAACTAGGTGGAGATGGTGGAGAGCTAATTTACATTGCGTGTGTAAGTTAGTACATCAAGTAAGAGATTCTAGAGTCTGGCCCTTTAAAATGGAAGCCAGTAGCTAGGCCTTAAGCAAGAAATTGTTCACATTGGCCAGGTTTTTCACAAACTTTTGCCAGTATACATGGCATCCTCAAACTGCAGAGGGTTTCAGAGCACAAAGGTTACATGTAATTCTCAGCTCAGAATTATAAAACAAACAATAACTGACAGAGTAAACACAATACAGTGTAAATGGCTTAGGCTAGATGCATGTTGTCAAGACCAAAAAAACACAGCTAATCATGAAAAAATCAGCATATGCAACAAATAACTATTTGAACATCCAGTAACCACAGAAAATATGTCTCTGTCAGGTTGATTTTGCTAATCGCTTTGTTGGAGGTGGTGTCACTGGAGCAGGACTGGTGCAAGAAGAAATTCGCTTCTTAATCAATCCAGAACTGATTGTATCTCGTCTTATTACTGAAGTCCTGGATCACAATGAATGTCTAATTATTACAGGTTAGTTTTTCTAAGCCTCATATGGGAAAAATGTTCACATACTTAATGTAATTGAATGCCAAAAGACTCAATAAACTTAGTCTGGTTTAAAACAGCACTGGGTACGAAACAGCAGTCCTGGATATGTATTCACTGGAGTTTAGAATGCATGATTAAGATGCAGGAGAACTCAGGCTCAAATCTCCATTTAGCTGTGAAGCTTACTTCATGGTGGAGAGCAACTCACTGAGTTCAGACATCACTGTGGCTTGTTGGGAGTATTTTAACCCTCGACAAGCCACAGCCCCTTTGGGAGCAGGTTGCATTTGCAGCCCCCACTTTGGGGTTGTACTTTGCAAACCCAGTGAGTATGGAGTATGCGAAGATTAAACTACCCTGATGAAGCAGTAAAACAGACCATGTTTGCAGTTAGGGTTATTCAGTTTTAGCATAACCCACACTGCTTGGGTTCATGCAACATGCCACCCCCCACCAGTACCTCACCTTCACCCTGTGTCATGAGATCAGCCCCCTCCCCCCCGCCACGTCATCTAAACTTTCACACAGGTTGAAGATAAAGTGAGTCATTATATAATCATGAATGCTACTAACACATTACAAGAATCTAATGATTTTTAAAATGTCATGAGTAAAATTATGTAGCTGATTAGATGCATTCTTGTACTGGAACTTGAGATTTAGCCAGTCTGCAGGACAGTGTTTATAAATATATAAGCAACTTTTGAATTATATAGCAACATAGGAATATATGGGACTACAGTTTAAGACTTCAGTGAAATTCAGAATCTTAACAAGTGTAATAAAACATTGGGAAGTGGAGTGTGGCTGTTCAGGTTTCCAGCCAGTTAATGCCAGCTCTGTTTTTCCATTCCATTCCCTTCGCCACCATCCTCCATATATTAGCCAGCATTGCATGACTGCTGGGCAGGCTCAGTCTTTGGTGGGCTGTTTGCAGATTTTTTATGCTACTGTAATCCTTGGGATTCTGCCAAGTCAACTGTTGCCTCCTCCTGGTACGTGGATAATGTCTTTCTGGATAGACAGTCAGAGAATTGAGTTTGATATTAATCTAAACACGTTGCAGTGTGTCCTTCATGTTTTTGTTAGCTAAGTCAGTGACTGGAAAGATTGGAAAACAAAAGTTCACATGAAAAGAACTTGAATGTTGATCTTAATGTTCATCCTCCACTGCCAGACCACTCTGGATCATTTAAACCCCAACCAGTCTGCATTCAAGACAGTAGAACATGAGGGTTCTGCATGCAAATAGACCCTTTGTTTGTCCTGGGAGAATATCTCAAGAGGCAGTTTAAGTAGATGGACCTGCAAACTGAAACGTATGGGGGAAATCTGTTTCTTCTACAGCATAACATTCTGTTATCTTCTTGCATTATCTTGTTATAAAATAACTGCCAAGAACAACTGCTAAGGAAATATTAGGAATAGCAAGTATGTAATATCAAAACTTGGTTGAAGGATTGTGGTCTCAGTTTTAGTGCAGTATTGCCCTTCCCTCTGTCTCATCCATTAGTGGCTCATGAGAACACTCTTGATTAGCAGCAAAACTCAATTAAAGTCTTATGGGGAATGGTCATAGGCTTGCAGGCATCAAAAGGATTCACTGAATGTGAGTTACCCTAACTATTGAATGTGTGTTATTTAAGATAGCGCCCCAGAGGTGCAAGTGAGCAATTGCTAGCACATGCTGCACATGATTTACACTTTCAGCCTCCACTTGAACTCTCAGATCAGTTATAAGTGCATGAAAAGTACCCTGGCTTAGCCATGAGTTGACTGTTAGTGCTCAGAGGATATAGCCTGGAAGCTAGAAAGCTTGGGAGGATGTCCAGTTCAGAAGAAGATTCTGTAAAGAAATGTCTGGTGTTAACAAACTGTTGGAATTCCCAACACCTTCATTGCTGTTCCATGTTGTAAGCATTGAGCTTCTAATGTATGCAATAATTCAGTTTTGAATTATCTTACAATCTTCAGAACAGGCTCAGTATATTTCAGTGGACTTTCCTGAATGAGCTACTGAATGGGAGGCGTACATGGAGCTCTCTGGAGATTCCTAAAGTGTAATTATGACTGTTCTCAGGGATTAAGTAAGAAATGCCCCCAGATAACATTAGCAAATAAAACCTGGACAGTTCCATTTCAGATGCTTCTGTTGGAACAAAATGGTGATTTTTCCACTTCTTTGAATCAATGTATAAAAACCAGTGTGAAGAAACAAAGGGAACTGTTTGTGCTAATGACAACCCATCACTTAAAGAACTCATGTGCTGTCATTTATGAGCAGGAGAGAATGAGCACACACCTGCTGCTTTCACTGCACAGCCTACTAGCAGCTCCCTCCTAACTTATAAAGCATGGCTGGGTTTGGATGCCACACACCACAAACTACAAAGGAGCTCATCTTGAGTTTTGCAACAAAAGCGGAAGTGACGGGTGTGCTGCAGGCAGCACACCTAATAACAAAGGAAAATGAAAACTCTGCCAGTTAGGAAGAAGAAAAAATGAATGCAACCAATTTTTCTCGGAATGTTGATTTCAAGCTGCTATTTTAAGCACGTGTGAGGTGAAGCAGCAGGGCGTCCGTACAGGATGTGAAAAATAGGGTTGCATATGTGCATGAGTGAGAAAGACAATAGTAATAATCCATAGAAGGGCCCTTCTCAGTGTTGTGCACTCTTGCTCCCCCCCTCCCCCAGTACACACACACACACACACACACACACACACACACACACCAGCGAGTGACTAAGGAGCATTCTGAGGTATAGTGAAGCATCTGGATTGCTTGCTCAAGGTCAAACCTCAGCTGATTTGCTGCATGCTGAATTAAGATTCTGAAAAGAATAGTAAAAAAGGGAGAAGATCATAATCTGTTCTGACAGTAAAAGCAAGCAGTTTTTAGAATTTCTGCATCCAAAATGGATGCTTTTATTTCCTAGGGACAAAAAAAACCAAGTGTTACATTCTTTCTCAGTGTTTTAGTGCACTTTACTTTATTACAGTGCTTTCTAATTAATATCTGTGATGCAATGTCCTGCTCCCTTAATGGAAATGGTCATTTCATCATCCTCATTTGATCCTTGGCTTTCTTCCATCTTGGTGCTTAGACAAGCCTCTGCTGGGTGCAGTTATCTGCCTGATAAATTACAATATTTCAGTGATGTATCTTGACTCAGTGGCCTAATGGATATAACTGCACTGCTGAAATTTGCAGAAGAGACTGAGAAATTAGAAATAAATTAGATTTGTTGCAATTGGCCAGCATCTGCTTGAGATCATTGCACTAGCAAATATGAAACTGGTCATGCAAAAACACAAGCACAGGCTTTTTCCAACCCACCATTTAGTCAGTGGGAATGTTAGCGTTTATAGAGCGTATTTTATTGCAATTTTTTTTAAATATCAGGAATCTTAAGAAGTGCAATTAATTACATGGTTCTAAAATGAAAAACAACATAATGTATATATCTGCTGCAGTTTGACTGACATACTGATTCTTTCCTCTCAGAAATTAGGTTTCTGAGAGGAAAGAATCAGGTTTGGAGCATAGCAACGGTGCCTAGACATTTTTTTTTTTTTTTGCTTGCCTCATTTTATCCTGCTATCATGCTTAATGATGTTTCCATCATACATCCAAACTTGCCTCAACAACTATTTGTTAATTTTACTATTTATGTTTAGATTGCCAGTTTAAATTGTAAGGTCCCAATAGCAGGAACTATCCTCCTTTTTACGTACAGCAAAAGATAGAACATACACATGTTTCCCTCCCTTGCTTGCAACAAACTGGCTTTGACTAGTTTTTTTTGCATATGCTCTGTTACCCTGTGTTCACCTATTTAAATTTTAGAACAATTCATGTTTAGCCATTCATATTTAAGAAGGGATTTCCTCTTTATTTCCAAGAAGTGTATTAGCTATGAGACTGCTTTGTCACAGGCATCAGCACTACCATTAAAGACCATTATGATACTGCACAGTGATTGATTTTTCCTCCTCTTACATGCAACTTGCATGTTCGGTAGTGGACCATTACCTCTAAGTAAATCTATTTATTCTTCACTGTTTTAAAATCAATGGAGTCCATGATGCTTTAGCTCATGGCAGATAGTATCTCCCCACACCACTGCGTACTCCGTAGCAATCTCTCTGTGTGTTCTGTAGGATAACAGCTGAATCCCTTAGGTGTTTGCCTGCTTGTATACGTTATTCCTTTATTAATTTCTTCTGTTATTTGGGATGATTACTGTAGCGGGCTGATTTTACCTGTCTTTACTATTGTTTTCCTTGACCCCTGTGCATGCATGCAAGGAGGCTTTCATTTTTACTTAAGAGCTTAGCAGCAAAAACAAATGGGGAAGAATAAAAGAGTGCAGACAGCTATAATGAAGGCCTTGCAGGTTTTTTTCCCCTATCCTTTCTGCAACATCTTAAACCGGAAAGACAAGAGTACTACCGCTTGACCATCATCCTGAGATACTTAGACTTCATTTATGAGCATCAGTGACTTGTAATGCTTAGTTTTAAGAGAGATTTTATTTTTTATGCTTCCTCCACCCCTCTAAAGCTTTGAGAACACCAGATGTGACACTATTTGAAAAACATTATGTAAAACAGTATGAGTACTATCTAGTATTAGTCTGAAGTTCAATAGAGCCATTGAAATGAATGAGACAAATTAGTTGTAATGAATTTTTTTGTTGTTGTTGTTAGTTGCGAAGTCGTGTCTGACCCATTGCGTCCCTGTGGACAACATTCCTCCAGGTCTTTCTGTCCTCCACCATCCCCCAGAGTCTACTTAAGCTCACGCTGACTGCTTCAGTGACTCCATCTAGCCACCTCATCCTCTGCTGTGCCCTTCTTCTTTTGCCATCTATTAGGCTCTTCTCCAGGGAGTCCTTCCTTCTCATTAGGTGGCCAAAGTACTTGAGTTTCATCTTCAGGATCTGGCCTTCTAAAGAGCAGTCAGGGTTGATCTCCTCTAAGACTGACCGGTTTGATCACCTTGCTGTCCAGGGGACTCACAGGAGTCTTCTCCAGCACCACAATTCAAAGGCCTCAATCCTTCAGTGCTAAGCCTTCCTTATGGTCCAGCTTTCACAGCCAAACATTGCAACTGGGAAAACCAAAGCCTTGACTATACGCACTTTTGTTGGCAGGGTGATGTCTCTGCTTTTTAGTATGCTGTCTAGGTTTGCCATAGCTTTCCTCCCCAGGAGCAAGTGTCTTTTAATTTCTTGACTGCAGTCCCCGTCTGCGGTGATCTTGGAGCACAGGAAAATAAAATCTGTCACTACCTCCATTTCGTCCCCATCTATTTGCCAGGAAGTGAGAGGACCGGATGTCATGATCTTAGTTTTCTTAATGTTGAGTTTTAAGCCAACTTTTGCACTCTCCTCCTTCACCCGCATCAAGAGGCTCTTTAGTTCCTCTTCACTTTCTGCCATGAGAGTGGTATCATCCGCATATCTGAGGTTGTTGATATTTCTCCCAGCAATCTTAATTCCAGCTGGCGATTCATCCAGCCCCGCCTTTCTCATGATGTGCTCTGCATATAAGTTAAATAGGCAGGGCGACAGTATACAGCCTTGCCGAACACCTTTCTCAATTTATGTTATTTATTTCAATGGGTCTACTCTTCATAGGATTAAGATTGGGTGTTCCCCAATATCTTTCACAGTGTGTATCAGAAGTATAAAGTATTTCCATAGTTACAATGTTAATTTTTAAAAAAGGTAATGATGAGCAAATGATTGATAAACAGGACTGTGTGTCTGCCCAGGGAATGGGGATCACCTCTCTGCCTGTTTAACAGATTTGCCTGGGTTCAGCAAGCCATGCTTATGTGGTGATTATGGACATAGTGTCCCACATCTACTGCACATCCACTGCAGTTTAAATAAGCCATCTTGGCTTAGTTCACATGGTGGCTTATTCTGGTCTTTGGAACCGGCCCATTCAGCCATCTTACCTGAAGGATATGTGCTTTGCTCAAAGCTGAAGATTTCCATGAAGTGAGGCAACCCCTAAAAAGAACTATCAGAAGAACTGTTCATTCCCTTCTTTGCTTCCCTTGTTATTAACTAAACACTTTTTCAAGATGGTGTGCAGAATGCAAGTCTGTACCAGTTAATGTACATACAGCAAGGAACTGTTCTCTTGTCACTTTCAATATTCCCCATACTCACTTCAGTTGCACCAAAGTGTCTCCTTTATTTGGTAATTTTCCCCCATTCTGGAAAAATCTCTTAAAACTACTGCTGTGCAGTAAATAAGGTTTGATTCTGAGTAAATATGCATAAGATTGCACAAGTGTGATAAGCGGTATAAAATGTCTCTGGTTTAAATCTTCCCAGCAACTCTCCTGGTGACCTTAAGGAAACGACTGTCTTTCAGTTCATTATTGGTAATATGGAAATAGAAATGCTGATCTGCCTTACAGGACTGTTCTGCAGATTGCTACAATGATATGTGGATGCAATAGGGAGAAGTGAGAAAAATAAGGACAATATATATTGCCTGGTTTGCTGAAGTGTTAATTTACAGGAACAGTAGTGGTTCATGTAATCTCCTTAAACCCTATTAGAACTTGAATTGAAGCTGGCATGTTGCAATATATATTACTTCCTGGATTTATTCTCTACTTTCACTTCCCTTTGTGTTTTGTTCAGCACGTGAGGGATTTCTCTGACTAAAGGCACAGTTCACTGGGGTTCCCTATAATCCTCTGAACTCCAAGGCATCCTGTGAAAGGCTGGGGAAGAGGGCAGCAGTGATCATCCTCTCCATGATCTTCCAGCCCCGCAGTTCAACTGGATGGCTGATTTTGGCCATGTAGATGAGAAGCGTTGGATGGTGGGGGAAGGATGCTGGAGCACCACCAGGAGATGTTGTATCCTGGCACATCCAGTCTCCTTCACTCCCTGAAATGCTGCCTTCACCCATTCTCCAAGTCACTGATGCTTCTGTGCTAACTGCACAGTGGAGGAGGGGGATCTCAGCACAGGGTCACAGCTCCAAGGTCTGAGATTTTTTCCAACCTTGGGTTTGGGAATCCAAATGATCCTGTGACCCTCTAGGTGCTGCCTGGGGGCCATAGGATCTCTTTGTAAGTTCATTCTACGATATGTGACTATGTTGTCCTGCAAAGTTGAATAAATGTGCAATCCTGATTCAATGTTCTTGGATGTAGCTAATGTAGTGTAGCTAATGTAAAGTATTGTAAGGGAGGCTAAGAGGGGGCATATACATAGTTTAATATATAAAACAAAATACCAGTCTATGAAGGATGCAATGGAAAATGTTTGCCCTGGACCTGGGAACCCTTTTGCAAGACCCTGCTTAGCTATAAACTATGCTGTGTGGGTCTAGTCATGAATTTTCAGCTTCAGTCTTGCTATTAAGATCATTTGTTCAATGTATTAAATTATCAGCTATTATTCATTAATTAATAGATTAAAATTACACACTAAATTATTAACTATTAACGACAGTTACCTCCCGGGGTTGTTGCAGAGCAAAGGATTACATGAAGAATTTGCATGTTAGAAATGCTGAAGAAAGAGAATCACTTAATGTCAGTTGAGGGTCTGTCCTACTTTTATGTTTTTGAAAAAACGATGAGCATCTGAGAGAGCAATCCTGTGACCCCTAAGTAGCATTCACATAATTCAAATCTCCAGATTCAAGGTCAGAGGCAGGTGTACCTGGGAACTGGCTTCTGCTCTCCAACCCCCCGCCCCCCACACACACACACAGCTTTGCAGCCGGTCTAGAAAGCAGAGTCGGCTTCTCCACCCCACCCATCCCACCTCTGGAGCAGCTGGACCAGATAGCCGAACATCACCAGCTGACGGGCAGGCAAAGCAGGGGGTGCAGGAAGGCAGAGATTGTCTCCGCTCCTCCCACTCTGCACAGGATGCGCATATTCATAAAAAATCAAACTGCGATCGCAGCAAGCGTATTTGGAGGTATGTGCATCACACAGGCGTGCTTGTCCAGGCAAGTATCGTGTGGACAGACTTGCCCAGGATCTGGGATTGGTCATTATTCCCATGTGAGCATGCTGTGCATGGCGCATCTGGCCATTTTAAAGTGTTAGAGCATGAAATGGTACTGAGTTGTAGGAAAACACTCATCTATAACAATTTCTTCTATAACAAAGGGGTTATTTTCATTTCTATTTCATAGCCTGCCTATTCCAAGGGCTCAGGAGACTGAGTAGGAATTTTATTTGAAGAGCCACATCTGTATTTGTCACAACTAACAGATAAAGTCCAAAGGAGAGACATACATCCCCAAATGCTCACTGCTGTATGGTTCTTAGAATCAGAGAGGAGAGTGCTTCCTAGCCTATATTGCACAAAGGAATAGCTTATTATTCTAAGCTCATCACAGAAATTCAACCCTGAGACAGGGCAGCCTTTCGTGGCCTTCTATACCAATCAAGCATGACAACCTCATTCTCTTTCAACAAGGCAGCCGGTGAATTACAATAATGCTAACCAAACACTTTTCTCACCTCCCTGCATCATATGCAGGCGCGCACACACACGCACATACACACACAGTAGAATTTTGCAGACTGGTTTTATTCACTTTGGCTCTTGACAAGCTGATTTTCCATGTATAAGGCATTTAGACTTTCTTTTCAGTATACATTCAAAGTATCCATAAGGTAACATCTTTGCCAGGATGAGACAGAGGAAGATGGTTGGTAATAGAGCCCAGCAACTTGTCTAACACTTGGGCTACACTCCTTTTCCTGAGGAGAGCCGTTCTGCAGAGATTCCTCCAGTCTTGTGCTTCAGGGTTTTGTTCTTGCTTATTCAAACAACATCCCTCTTCTCTTCCTCCCCCTTCCTATTAGCACTAATGAAACTGGTGCAGGTGTTCAGAAGGGGCATGTATCTATGAAGGAAAAGAAAATGTTCAGCAGAAAATGGCTTGCATAATGCTACATTTTATTTCTTTCAGGTACAGAGCAATATAGTGAATATACTGGCTATGCAGAAACGTATCGGTGGGCCAGGAGCCATGAAGATGAAACACCCAGGTATGTTCTTGCAAAGGATTGCCCTAGACTTTTTCACTGATGGAACTAGATATTAGATCCTCAGTCTTGTAATTGCTACAAACGCACTGCAAATGACTAGTGCTGACATTATTATAATGCAAGGGGGGCCTGTAATAATAAAGCCAGGGTGTTGCACTCTTTATTGTGTTCCGGTAGAACCTTCCTCCTAATAGGGGTGTTATTATTGAAGCTTCTAGCCAATCATTCTCTCCAGGTAGGGCATTCTGCTCTTCTTCCCTGCATCACACGGTTCCATTTTTCTTTTCCATCTGTCATTCTGTATTCTGTAGTTGCAAGGCACACTGAAGTTTTTATTGTCTGTGTGAGGGAGGGGCCACCCAAATGACTCCTTATGTTTTTCAAAGATATCTGTGTTTCTACTTTTGCAAACCTCAGGACTTCCCCAAGCAATATTCTCTTCTGTTTCCCAGTGGCCTTGTTTTGGTGATGGTTCTGTCAGCATTTGGCAGCTGAGTTGATCATTTCCTATTGTTGCTTTAAACCTTTAGTTTGGGGTTCACATTTTGAGTGCTTGTGTAAAAATACTCAAGCTGCTTTCACTGTCATGTGGAAATATGTGGGCAAACTTCAGGACACCTCTGCTGTGTACCTGAAGAGCCATTCAAGTTTGTATGTTGCATATGTCTGAGAAAAGGGGCACATGTGAAAAGATTGTCTGGAACAGTTATGGAGCTGTCAGCAGTTATGGAGCTGTCTCACAAATAGAAGGGGTATATACCAGTTTAATATGACCATGGATGGGACACCCATGGATATCACAGTAGTGTAACTAAACAGTAACCTGACTCAGACAGGCTGCAGCACCCTGTGGGTACCAGTTTGAATATACACCTCCTGCTCAAATGTTTTGTCATAGGAACCAGACAGACATGGTTTATGTGAGGACTGTTTAACTCTCTCATAAGCTATGCTTATATTCACATGACATGGTGGCCCCCAAGCAGGGGTTGTCTATTCAAATGATGGCTTTGTGCATCATGGCCTCACTGTGTCCGGTTGTCATGATGTACAGACAACTCCTTTATGTGACAGTGCAGAATATGGAAAGTACTGCCAGCTGTATCGTACGTCTGAATTGGAAACCAAGCATCAAAACAAAACCCTGGTCAGATTCTTTCCTTGTACCACCTAATTGTGGTAATTGTGGACTGCAATTTCAGTACAGGAGAAATAAAATCTAAGAGAAGGGACTGTTCTTGAAGCACATATGTCAGGTTCACAATATTGTAGTCATACAGAAAATACAATTTTATATTTTTTTTGGCTCTCCAGGGATTCTCTTCAAATAGTTGGCGTCACACCCAGTCTGTTATTTAATATTAGGGCTCTGACATTCACAGTGTGTAACTAATGCGTTTCCAAATCTGTGGGGAAACTTTTTGTCTCCTACTGCATCAGCCTCCCCTCCTGGGCAGAGTTCACTCATGATCTACGGCAGCATTGCCTTTCCCTGACATTATTTCTGTGCTTTTTGCCACTGGTGAAGCCCTTGAGAGATGAACTCATTCTCAATCTTGTTTATAGGACCAATATTATCACAGTTAATTTTACTGACCTCCTCACTCTTTTCCTTTCTCTCTCCCCACCCCCATCACAGGGATGAATGGCAGAGGCGCTGCACAGAAATTGTGGCCATTGATGCATTTCATTTCAGACGTTTCCTTGATCAGTTTGCTCCTGAGAAAATTAGAAGAGAGCTCAACAAGGCCAGTAACTCCTTAATCCATCTGCAAGCTAAAGCCCATCACTCATGTGTAGCCATTTCATTAGTGTTTGAGTTGTGTTGTCCAATAATTTTTGCAGTGTCAACAACTCCTTGAAGGGAGACTTTCTGCTTAATTGTGGTGTCAGTTCACACACGATGTTATTCATATTTTGCAAGATTAATATCGAAGCTAGCTATTTTAAATCCAACTGCTAAGTTATTCTTTTGTGAAATACCACCTTTCATACTGCCAAGTATCCACAAAAGTAGCTGCAAAGCAATTATACTTAAAATACCTTTTGCAGTATATTGCTCATGTAATGAATCAAAGTAGTATTTTACTTTAAAACTAGATAAGCTTCCTAGTTTTTAAACTGTTCAGATTCATTAAAATTAGCAGCTACTGTTGAGGGGTGGAGGGGGGTTAAGAGGGTGTCCCCATGAGAAAAAAAAACTCCTTCATTAAATAATAGATTCATGCTAACAAATTCTTCTCAATATGTAGCACCTCTTGTAGAAATTTTGTGGTGTGAAAAGGTCCAACATGCAAGAAACTCAAAGATTATTTTACTTATTATTTACCCAAATAGGTCTCAACATTTTCAGATACAAAACCCACTGTTAGCACCAGCCTGCAAAATGAGGCAATGTGGTAATTTTTGCCATATATGCTCTCCTCCCCCTGCCCCACATTTTCTTGTGTCTTTCTCGCTTTTTCTTTCGTCACTTCTTTCCCCTGCAAAAAAAGCATTGTTCCAGTTTGTCCATTCTGATTGCCCATAGATTGTTTAAATCATGGATAGTCACAAACAAGGGAAATTTCATTCCTGGGCTGCGACTGTGATGCCTGAACCCAGAACCGTGGTTTTTTTGGGAGAAGGAGCCCAAATGGTGGTTACAACTCTGGGTTGCCTGGTCCAGATGTCATGACCAACAACTCAGTCAGCAAACCAGGCTGCAGTGGGAGGGACTGAGCAGCAAGAAGCACTGTGCTCATTTGCTTCGCTTGCCCACAGTAGTCCAGGCTTTGCAGAGACAGAGGGGATGGGAACCACTTGTTGTGACATGAAAACCAGCTCTAGCTCTTCTTTTTTAAGCAATACAACAAGAGGAAGAAATTGGTGGTGTCCATCATACGACTCTTAAGTTTGTGTAAGCCTCAGACGTGAGACTTTGTCCAGCAGCCAAAAAGTAGTCTTTTATCAGAACTGCAAACAATGTAGTCGCTAAACTCATGGCGTGGATGGAACATAGGCAGGGTGGAGGAAATGGAACAGAAAAGAACTTGGACTTGCCGACCACCCCCGTCCCGTTCAGTCACTTTTAGAACTCCCAAGGAACCACAGTAAACTACAGTCAGGAGCTGTGAACAGGTGTGTGTGTGTGTGTGTGTGTGTTAATATTTCCTCTTTCTGGAGTAGCTGGAAACCCAGGAAAGTGTCAGAAACGTGGACAACACTGTCAGCTCAACTCAGGAAATCCAGAGGATTATGTTGTTGCCTACTTTTCCGTTGACCGCTATGCAGCTTGCACAAATCAGCCTAACGCAGTCTCATCTTCTCAGTGTTCATCTATTAGCAGCTGCTCTTGCTCGCTTTGATAGTGGAAACTTGCAAGGATATTGAGCAGGCAAGTCTCCAAATATCAGACATGCATAAGTGCAGACCTGCACACTGCTGAAAGACCGATATTAAATAATTAAAAAAACAACAACAACAACCCTATTTGTGCACATTCTGAGGGCTGAGAAAGAAAATGTGACAAGTCAGCACCATAGTATCACAGGGCACCAGGGGATAGGCTGTCAGTCGTGGTGGCAGCCACATGGGTGGAGACCCTTTTCTTGCCCCTCTTGCTTAGCAGGTTCAGGCCACATCCGACCCAGTATCTGTCAAGCAGCCTGCAAGCCTCCAGCCCGTGTGCCACAGTAGCCATGAAGCATTTGCGGGCAGCTGCCACAACCATAATGTATATTCATTCCTGGCCTGCAAATATATCTAATAATCCTGAAGGATTTGGCTCATCTGATCCTACTTAAACATATTCAGTTGAGTGTGGCCGACTTTTCTCAATTTTCCATCTGAGAGAGAAATATAGATATGTATAACATAACATGCTTGTTAATATGTCTTCAGAAATGACATAGCATGATTAATATTAATTTTCTTTAAAAAAAGGAAGTAGAAGCTATTGCTTCATATTGAAAGTAACATCGGGGCCATCACAGATGGCAATAAAATAAGCTCAGCAAAAGACAGTAAATAAAATTAGCAACTTTCACTGACAGTTTAATTGGAAAACTAAATCAGCTATTCCAGGCATCTGATATCAGACTTCATGTGTTCAATCACATTGATAGGAAAGAGGCAAATTGTACATTAAGATGGATTTTATGCATTTTTTGCTGTATAGAAGGTTTTCTCTTTGGGTAGAGGTGGGTTTTAAGCAGTAGATCATACATGAAGCAAGTGACATTTTACATTTCATTAACTAAAATAAACTTAGATTTATGAGTAAAGTGTAGAATATATTAGTGCAGACTATGAATTTCCAGGCAATACTCATTTTAAGAAGTTCTAGTGTATAAGCGCTTGCTATCCTGCCTTTCATGTAGTAAAATTTAGTGCAGTTAATGGAGTGGGTTTGGTAAATGTCAGCCAAACCATTATCAGGCATGGGTAGCAGGGCAGTGCCTGGTACAAGCCATCCTTGTCCAAACCTGCCCTCACTCGTTTGCTCTTTATTTCTTTCACTCCTTCATTGAGAATAGTTTAGCACAACCTTTCTTAGAACAAAAAATGGCAATGTGGAGAGTCTTGGTCAGGGTCTCACTCCATTGCCTTCTTTCAAAATATTCCATTCTGCTCATTCTCCACACAGTTTTCCATTCCCCCTTCCCCAAAAGTCAGCATTTTATGACTGCAAATGCTCAATCCGCATTGAGCTTTGGGAACCCCCCACTTTTTTTCTAAATATGATTTGTACTTCAGAGCATCTGCAAGCCTGTTAATGCCTCTCTCTCGCACCTGGATGGTGCTTTGGAGCGGTATAAGGAGCAGTGCTTGCTCTATATCTTGGAAGAAAAGGGAGCAAATGGAAGTTTTGGTGTGAACAATAGCATGAACCCAATAATAGCTTTCCCTGTGGGAGAACAATTCTGAACAAATCAATCCATGGGCCCTTCTCAAGACCCATAATGATGGGGGAGTATTATTTCTGTGGAAACGGTACTTCATAACCCTGGGCCCACCACCAAGAAAGCCTTAGTCATGAGCTTTGTGCTCATGAAAACATAGCACAATGGAACTTAACTCTGTATTAGAAGAAATTATGATAACCATATGACATAAAGGTGACAAAAATTATTCTGTGATTTGGCACAGCATGTATTCAGCACATTCTGCAGGCATTTCAAATATTCAGCTCCCAGTCATGAATTTATCCATGACATCCAAACCTGAGTCTATTAGCTTAATCCTGGATTAAAGAACATGCAGGTAACCTACCGTTAGTAGTTAGGTTAACTGTGGGTTGTTTAACCCATGATTAATTCATACTCTTGAAGATTAGATGTCACATAGGAACCCCAGTCAGCCTGGACCAAGAACGCCACAACTAGCCACTGGTATGTGCAAACAGCTCCATGGTTTGGTACTGTCATTGTACGGTGTGTTCACTGCTCCTGCTTCACTTCACTGCAATAGCATCATGCCATATGCATTTGTAAAAAGCAGCTTGCATTGTTCTTCCACCTGGTTTGGGCATGGTGCTGTGAGTTGCTTTCTGTTTCCTCCTCAGTCTCTTTTTCAGGAATGTGCCCTCTAAAGATAAGCAAAATGGAGTCAAGCTGATATGCTAATAAAGCTCTGAAGGTCTCTGCAAGGCAAGCTTATTCTCCACACAGCTGGTGCCAGGGCCTGCTGAATACCATAATTTCTCATAAACCCTCCGTGTGGCCTCCCACCAGACATACATGATTTTTTAAGTCACGTATATCTGATGGGATTGTTACAATTTGTGATGTCTTGAATAAGCCCTCCATCACTAAAAATGAATAATGGCAGACTGCTAAATTAAAACGAATAATGATCAGAATGTACAACCCCCATGGGGACGAAAGAAACTGCTCCATAAATCCATTCCAGACATTGCTATTTCAGGCATACATATATATGTGTGGGTTTCTTTTGCAGCTTTTGCAAGATCCTCTTCAGGACCTGTATCACCCCCAATACTTGGTGTGAAACAGGTCCTAGATGGCATTGTACCCTCAGTGACCAGGTGCAGCTTTTGCTGTCTGATGAGGCTCAGGTAGTGGCTGTAGCCACAAGGGCTTTCTGACTGGTTTAGCAGCTGCAGCTCTCTCTGGTCTCAGTCACCCGTGGACTGGTAACTTCTGAACTAGGCTGCCGTCATGTGCTTTACATGGGCCTGCCTTTAAGCATTAAAGTTGCTGTTGGTACAAAATGCAGTGCACAGTGGCTGATGGGGTGGGGTGGGGAGCTAGGAGGTTGGAAAACATAATTCTGTTCCAGCGGCACAGCCAGCCAGTAAACATCCAGACTGGCTGGCTGTTTCAAAGGGTTGGTCTTAAAGCCCTAAATGGCTTAGGACCAGTTTATTTGAAAGACAGCTCTTGCTTCTGTAGTCTTGCCAGCACATTAAGATTGGCCTCAGGTGTTCTGAAGTGCCCACCTAAAAGATCACTTGGCAGGTACAGGAGGCCTTCTTGTTGGTAGCCCCTAAGGGCAGAATCCAGTGGGGTGCTTATACCTTATACATTTGCTGGTTTTCTCGCATCCTGCTGCCTCTGTTGTGCAAGCAGGAACCACTGATCTGCCACAGAGAGCTATTTTTCCTTGAGTGCTGTTTGGTAGGGACACATTGGCAGGGTTCCCATGTACAACCTCTGCCGACCTGCCCGATTCCAGAAGCAAGCATTTTTGTTCATTGCTAGTTGTTCTGGAAGTGCCAAGTCTTCCCTCTGTGAGTGATGGGTCCTGCTTGCAGATGGGAATTGGCAGAGGCATAGTCAGCCCACTGGAATTTTTCCTGATGTCTTGTCCTTTGCTGCTTCTGTGCTGGTGTCCAGGCACTTGCTTCCTTTAATTGGATATCAGCATGAGCATATCTATCTGGGAGATGCTTCTCAATGCGCTCTATACATTCGCTAGCATGGCAGTTTTTATCATCGCTACTTGACCTCCCTCTTGATAGTATGTCATTTATGGTGGCATGGCCTTAGAAATGTCTTTAAAAAGTTTAAAACAAGTAGTATTTTACACTTGCTTTCTGTAATTGGCTCGAGGGAAACAAATGTGCTATTTCATTAGCAAATTAAATGATCAGGTTTAGTGATACTTGCATGCTTTTCGGTTCATACCCTGTTATGGGCTGGATGAAGGCCAATAAGTTGAAGCTGAAAACTGGCAAGACAGAATCTGCATGGGCAGGTGGCTCCCAGGCCAGAGGATAGCTCTGGATGAAGTGTCCCTCACTCTGAAAGGTCAGGGCTGGGTATACTCTTAGACCTGCCATTGTGGCTGGTGTCTCAAGTGCCCGTGGCAGTTCTGAGTGCTTTTACGAGCCTTGACTGGCTTTCCAGGCATAGCCTCTGCTGGGCATGGATAGCTTGGCCACAGTGGTTCAGACATTAGTAACCTCAAGGCTGATTTACTGCAGCGAACTCTTTGCAGGGCTCTGGAAGCAGCTTGGCTGTTGTCCGGTGCTGACCCTCTCCAGCATGCAGCTCCTTTTCTGGGGAACTTGCACTGGCCAGGTTTAAGGTTTTGGAAATGTGATACAGAGCACTAAACAACTTGGAACCAAGTTGCTTGTGGGAGCGCCTTCTCTCTTACTGGCCTGCGCTGTCACTGAGGTCATCAGATGGGATGCTCCTGGGGATCGTCCATGGACCTTTGGCCCAAGAGGTGTCCACTCAGAGAGGAGCCTTCAGTGTGGGGGCCCATTTCTGTGGTACTCCCTAACTGGGGAGCAGGCAGGCAGCGACTCAGTGTCATTCGTTGGTGCCGTGGGAAAGCATCTTTACACCAAGATGCCTTCCCTGATTGATCATTCTTGGCGTTCATGGGAGTTTTGTTTTTTTTTAAATCCTTTGTAATGTATTTTAATCTTTTTTTGTTGTTCACTGCAATGAAATCGGTTCAGATGTGGAACAGAATATGGGGTTGAATGACATGAGGAGACATTATTTCTGGCTGCCCATGATATGTTGTTGCATTGTACAAACCCAGTCAGTGTGTGTAGTGCTCCTTTAACTAAAAGTGTGTGTGTGTATGCGTGCACACACGAGAAAAATGCACATAAGCGCAATAAACCAAAAGGGCGAGGTGGTATGAGCCGTTTTCTTGTCTTTAGGCTTACTGTGGCTTCGCTCGGCCCGGTGTTCCACCACATCACCTTTCAGCAGTAGCTACAGGAAACTGGGGATGCGGTGCTTTTGGAGGTGATGCAAGATTGAAAGGTAAATGGTATAATAGTTGGTTAAATGTTAGAAGTGTGGTAAAGAAGGTAAAGCAAACCAAGTGCTCTCTGCTGTGTTCCTTCCTTGCTGCTTTCCCTGCTCTTCAGCTGCAGGCTAGAGCAGCTGAGAGGTAGGTGAACAAGGAGGGCGCTGAGATTGACTTCCTTACTCTGTGCCAGAAAATGTGAAGGGTTGCTGGCAGGCGAGTGGGCAAGCGGCAGGAACAACATTCTCTGTGCTGGTGCAAGGGGAGGCTTGGAACGGGTCCTCACTTTCCACAATAGCCGCTGGAGCCATTCGTTTTTCTGGGCATCGAAGGCCTCGGGTACATGGGAAGTTTCACGTCCAGGCTGTTGTGCAAAGCAGACCAGGATGTGTCCATGATTCTGTGAGAGTGCTTGGCTACTCTGAAATTTGCTGAAGTCAGCAGCCAGTTTGACCGCTGTTGGCTAACTTCAGCATAGTCGACACAAGGGGACTGCCTGTTTCACAGGGGTGGTGCCTTGTTCTCACCATCATATCGTAATCTGAGTTAGCAAATTCCTTCTGTCTTACTGCTGCTACCAATGCCGCTGCTGAATTTCCCTAGCAGTCTGCCTGTCACACACTCCTATGCTGCCTGCCTAATGAGGTGCTTTCAGAAAAACCCAGTTACTGAAGCTCTACCAAATGCACACGCTGCTGGGCAGTTTGATTAAAACATCAGCCCTTAATGGGGATTGATCTTAAAACGGCATGAGGGCCATTAATAATTTAGCTGCTGGTTTCCAAATGCCCCTTGATTATATATGGGTTTTGTGATGTCAATGCTTGTAAATTAGCTCTGTTTCCAAATGGAGCAATGAACGTTTGGATCAACAGCAAAAAAGTCCTGAGTAAAATCTGCTACCTTTTTTTTTTTTTTTGGTAATTAGAAGTCAGATAAAATTCAGTTACAAGGTTTTATGAGGGGGACATGAACCATTCTCCCAGCTGAAACATTGCCAACATTAACTGAAATCCTTGTAATTAAAACATGCAAGGTGACCTTTTATTTTCATAACTTCTTCCATGAAGCTAGGGAATTAAAGGCCAAGGTAATGTGTTCTTTGTTCAAGAAGAGAGTATATATTGGAAACAGGGAAACAGTCCAGTTGCGATTAAGCCTACGATTAAAGAACACGCTCAGCTCTTTGTCCTGTGACATTGGGTGCAAAATGAGCCCTTCTTCTGCTGTGCCATTTTGCTTTAACACAGCATCAGCCTGTAAGTCAAGGAACTACTCTGAGAAGCTGTGTTGCTGCAGAAAGGCAAGGAGTTTAATTTTCTTTGCAAGATGCATTTGCTTAATCTTCCCTAGACGGTAAATTGTTCTGCAAAAGATACTGGGAAAACTGAGTTGCCATTTTGTTGCTTCAGACTCACAAGGCACTCACCGTTTCCCTGTCCTACCACACCATTTGGTTTAATAGCATTTGAACTGTCTCCCTCCAACTTTTTGTACAAACAGTTAATTTCTGTATAGAAGAACTTGTCCTTACCATAATGTATGAAGACTGAGATGAGTATCTTTTTGCAATGTGAATACGCAGATTAAAGAGTTGTGTTACTTTTTTGGGGAGAGACAAGCCAAAATTTCCGGTTCACACATAATGATAAACCCAAAACGTAAGTTTTGTGGTTTGTTTGAAGCAAGAGCAGTTGCGTAGTAGTGTGCCATGAACATTTTTACATGGTTGGAAATCTACTCCCCATGTAAAAATGCTCCTGGCACACTTGTTGCATCATGGCAACCAAGCCTGGATATGATTGAAGAAAAGGACTGTGCAACAAGGTCCGTTGGCAGAGGGCTGCGGGAGCAAGATAGATTGGCCTCTGGATTGGCAGGGTTTGGCATCACTGAGCCACAGCCTTTCAGCCCAAGTTAAATCCAGGTCTGGAGAAGCTCTTGTGGCCGGCGTTCCATTGGAGGCCAAGAGGGTGCCGTTGAAGGCAACATGGGGGAGGCGTGAAGTACAGAAAATAAAGCTCGATGGCTAAGCCCGGGTAGAGACAGTCCAACCTTTTAGAAGGGGCAGAGGGAGGATCTGCACAAGGAGTCATGTTGGGCGGTTGGGGGGAATGGGTGTAGCCTGGGGAAAGGGAAGCTGCCTTTTGAGGAATCCTGGATGGGCCCGCTCTGCCCTCCTGGCCTCCAGTTTCCCGCCCCTGGCCTGGAAAATGTCCAAAGCATCTCACCATTGCTTTGCGTTTGGTTGGTTGGTTGGTTGGTTGGTTGAATTTGTATGCTGCCCACTAATCCGGATGGGTTCTCTAGGTGCATTACAGTAAAATACTTAAAACAACAACAATAAAACAACATTAAATAATAAATTTGCCTCTCAGAAGACGTGAGAGAATAGAACCAGGTAACAATGTCCCTGCTAGTTTTTTTGTGGAACACCTTTGGGAGGTGCAGATTAAAAATGGGGTTTTCTGGCATTTCCTGGTAAACTTCCTCATTTGGCATTTATCTGTTGTTGTTTTCTCTCGTGTGAATTTGCTTCAGCCTTGATACAGATCTTGGCCGCGGCGGAGGCTGGACGAGATATTGTTTATTTCACCTTTGGAGATGCTGAACTAATGAGAGACATTTACAGTATGCACACTTTCCTAATTGAGAAAGGACAAACTGTTGGTAAGCATCAGCTAATCTCTTTCTCTCTGGAAGCATGTGTGATTATAAACAAGGCAGGGTCCTGGTCACAATTATGCTACTGCCCTAAATCAAAGAAAACATCTTGGGCAATTGGAAAAGCTGAAGATGCTGTGTTTACAGTTCACTCCCAGATAAACAGACTTAAAAAAAACTTTAGAGTTTTTGTTGTTTAAATTTCTCTTACAATACCCAATCAGATTGTATCCATACTTTAGAAGGTAATCTTTGTCCAGTGTCAACTCTTTACTTCAAAATAAAATGTGCCAAGGTGATCTACTTTTTCTGACGGTAAACCTGGGAATAAAATGAACTATAACTTTGGGCAATAAAATGAAACATTCTAACTCTGTAAATCATACAGATTTGCATGGTTTCTTTTTACGTAATTTGTGCTGTGTCAATTAATCATGGACTTGGAATGCTCAAGGGCACTGAACTCCCTTCTCTGACCACAAGAAATCTTAGTTAGCAGTTCCTCTGACTTCTGAGGTTCAGCCAGCATTGTACAGTTCAATGCACACCATAATGACTGGAAAATGTCTTCTTATCTTTAATAGATGAAAATACTATTCACATACATTGTTAGATTACGGAACTGATTTTTTTAAATGCTCCCCTTACCCACATGCTTTATGCAGTACTAATGGAACAGTCCTTTTACCTCTTGAAGTGTTGAACCAACATCGACTGCTTGATAAAGTTCCATACAGCATAAAAACATGTATTTTCTGCAACTAGGCCTGGACAGTAGCTCAGATGTATGTGCACTGTTCATATAGAGCAGTAACTGGTCCTGGAAGTGACAGGAACATAGCACCTGTAGTAATTGCTTTGTAGTTTGGGCTGAATGGTTATGCCTCAGATGGTGGTGTCAAGTGTCCCATGTGGAACATATTTACAGGGAGAATTACATGGAAACGTCAGCACTTGGTCGTGGTGGCCTTTACAAATAAACCATTAAAAAGTAAGTCTCTCTTAAAATTGGAGTTGTCTGTCTAAGACTGATTTCCTTATGAGTAATGGGCCCATTTATCATCAGATGTCTAGCAGAATGCCTTGTATTTGTGTTTGTAAGCCTGGCTAAATTTCTAATTCAAAATCACTGATTTTAGTTTTGTTTTTCTGTTCTTGGTATCTTCTTTTTGCTTTGTTTTCCTCTTCCAGGGGACATTTACAAGCTGTTGCTCAGATACTATAATGAGGAATGCAGGTGTTGCTGTACTCCAAGACCAGAAGTCAAGCTGTACCCTTTCATTTACAATGCAGTAGAATCCTACGCAGATTCCACTGATGATGAGAGAGGAGTATGTTTTGATGAGTAGAATGAAAATTTGCAGAGTGAATATCCTTCTTTTCCTTGCAGAGTATCCATTGACTTATGAAATGTAACATAAGGTGTAGCTTAATTTCATATCCATGTATATAAATCCTGCATTTGTTTTATGTTATCTGAAAACCAATCTTGAAAAGAAACAGGTTTTCTTTCCAAAGTAGAAAGTGAGCCTTCATCATCACATATAGAACAAAATGGTTAACCCTGTCCCCCCCCCCCCACCAAATTTAGGGCTGAGTTTTTACTCTATATTTGAAAAGAGCAGATTTTTACATATCTACCCTTTTTCGATTTTTATAGAGATAATCACAGAATGAGAGAGAGGTTTCCTATATAAAGTGTTTAGCACGCCAACAGTATAATTTATTATTCTGTTATGGGTGGAAAGTCTGTTGGACATAACAGTTCCATTTCTTTTACATTTTCGCATAGGATAAACCCCACTTCTGGATCAGTTTAGGGAAAGACAGAAGGTAGACAAACATGTCTTAGAAACAATAATCAAAGGAATACCCCAGGCACATCTCCTTTTGGAGGTTGAGAGACAAGTATGAACAGCAGTAGAAAGATGTATACAAGAATAGCCAAGATGATACAAGAATAGCCAAGATAAATTTCAAGAGGGTAAAGGGTACTTTGAATATTATTACTTATATTTTAAAAATCTATGGGCCATATATTCATAGAATGGTTAAACAGCTTTTTTAATGGTTTTAAATTGCACAAGAGTGTTCGTTGCTTGAATTTAGCTGGAAAATTGTATCTGTATATTTAATGTACAGTCAATATTATATCTGGGTTTTTATTATACAATATAAAACCCATATAAAGCATGTGTTAGTGAGTATGGCTAATTTGGTTTGATAAATACACCAAGATTTAGGGTGTGATTTAGGCAGGGAAAATGTCTCAATAAGAGGCTAGCTCTGCTGGAACAAATGAGAATCACACAAGGCTACACTTGTGCATTTCCCCAGATCCCTATTTTTTCAGTGGAAATTTGGATTTTGTCCTTGTGGGAGGACATCCTGAGAAAAGGCAGGAAATAAAATATAAGCTGCAATTTGCTTGTGGAGAACTTGCTAAAAGATGAGAATAGAGATTATTCAGCAGTGAATACTTTGCTGTAAGCACTTCTAGAGTAGAGGGAAACCTATATGAAGAAAACCTCAAGCATGATACTGTATTCTTTTCCAGCTTTAAAGCAAAATAGGACAGGGTTAATAGGTTAATAAGAGCTGAATGGTCCCAGCAATCTCCTAATTAAAGTGAAAGCTAATCTGTCCAGGATGCATCATCAATGCCAAAAGAGAGAATTCTGAGTCGATTCAATATTCCACTTTGTCTTAATTTCTTTCGCAGCTGCTCAGTGTCGTCTTTCTCAGATATGTGGTGCAATCTTTCCTTTTCTTATAAGAGAACTGCCCAGTGCAGCCCCCTAAATACTGACAAGCAGATGGGTCAGTCATCCATTAGGTGGAAAATGCCATTGCAATCAGCTTTGCGTTAGAGTGCTTTTCTCTCGTGACCAGTCTCCATCTAAAATTCCTCAGTGGCACAGCATCCTATTATGTTTACCCATGAGTGTATATAATAATTTATATAAGGTTGAAATATATCATTAATACTTTAAACTTGCAAGTTCTGCATTTGTTATATTTTTTTGATTGGGGCGGTGAAGAATCAGTATGACGTGTACTTTTTTTTTGTAATGGAAAACAATAAAACCAATGAACATTTTTCTCCACATAGGTCTTTCGATGCTTTCATTGGAAGAGTGTTGATGTGGGATTTGATTAGGAAGTTAAGGACTCAGGTCTGTGGCATCCCGACACTGGACCTCAGTGCTGGGACTCCAGTGGCTAAACCTCTGCCCCCCCCCCCCCCCGGCAGTCAGCATGGAAAATACTGCACTGGTTGCCTCTCCAGCAGTGGAAATAAGTGTCGGGGGGTGGGGAGGAGAGAGGATACCTGCCACAGTGTACTCCAAAGGAAACATTGTCTAAGTAGTGTATATTCTACACACACACACACACTCACTCACTCTGCAGCCAAATAGACCCAAGTTCTCACCAACGCTCCCCACCCCCCAATCTCTGCAACTGTATTGTATACAGTTTATGAAAAAATACACATGTCTTCATTTTGTAACACTCACTGTGCAAAGAGATTTTTGTGCAAAGTTTAATTTTTATTTCGCATTTCCTGGTTTCATTAGTCAGAGAGGCAGAAGGGCAAGGCAACAAAAGCCTAATGCATCCACCTTTGTGGCTTCTGAGTTTCTTCATTGTGATCTCCATGCATCGCACATCATTTTGGCAGGAAATCTGCACACACCTCCCCCCCGGTGCCAGTAACAGCTCCTCCAAAGTGCCCAAATGCCCTGTTTATTTTAACGGTCCAAACTATGTGCATTTTTCCTAAAAAATGCACGGAAGCTAAACAAACAGTTCTTGAGGAAATGATTCACCCTTGTACAGGCAGCCTTTACCATGTGAATAATTCATATGCCAGCCAGTCATTTCATCCACCTGGCACTTGTTTGCCAGGCCCTCTCTCCATCACACATCTGTGCCTGGGTGGACCTCCTGCTGCGGAAACTTCTACAGCTAAGGGATCTGAAGCTGGAACCCTGCCACACCATCCCAGTGGGCCTGTCCCTACTGGGTCCCTGCTATGGGGCCAAGCTTAGGGATAGCCAGGATAGCCCCAGTGGCCTTTAAAAATACTCTGCAGTGAGTGGGGGTGCCAAAACCCAAGCATCCGCCACCATTTTTCCTCAAAGTTCTTCGGATTCTTTGTGCAAAAACTGTCTTCCAATTAGCTTTGAAGTACGTTTCCATTTCAATGGAAGACAGTTTTCCTTTGAGGCAATTTCACTGAGCACTTGACTACATCAAATACCATAAGCATTATATTAAATGATAAAATAATGCTGTCTGATGTATTTCCTCTGGAAGCAGTAGAGAGGTATCCTGATTTTAGATCAGTTAATAGATGCAGACTGTGAATTCCTCTCCTTTGAGGATCTACAGAGGACATAGTGACTGCCCCAAAACATACTGGCAACACCTTCAAATAAAAGATATTTTCTATTTCCTATAAAACCCAGCCAGATTAACTGCCTTGGAATCTCCAACATTATTGGAGGACTTGGCTATCTCTACAAAGACAACCAAGCTAACAAATATATTTACTCTTAACATGCAACCAGCTTGACATTCAGACCCTCCAAAGAGTGGAGTGGAGAATTAAAATGCCACATCCAACCACATCAGCAGCAAATAGCTGCATCCTCTGTACAGCCCATACCTGCAACCTGAAACTGCACCTTATACAGCAAAAGCTGCATACTGGAGTCCGCAGTGCCTTTAAAAAAAACAAAAAAACCTCACCCTCTAATAAAGCTGGTGATGTGGGACAGCAGAAGCATCATTCATGCCCAAGATGTAGAAATGCCCAGTGCTGGCCTCTGCCTGGACAGAAGGTTTTAAACATCAGCTTTGTCTTAAAAATGCTATTCTTGTTTAAGGATGTCAATGTATTGCTGAATTACACCCCCAGTGGACTATTCAAGCCCTCGTGGCAGCTAAGAGGCTCACACCACAGGGACGGAAAGCTGCATAATTTCCCTAATACTTTCATGACTAGTTAATGCATCTCTAATCCTTTTTGTGTGATTGTATGTTTTCCCCCTTTTTTCTCTCCCTGTGTTTTTATTTTTGCCCTTTTGTATTCTCGGTAGCTTCATACTGATATTCAGTTTTGTTGGGGGATTGTAGAGGTCAGGTGAAAATTATAAATATGGAAAAATGTAAGAGGTCAGCAGGATACCTTTGTATTTATAACCAAGGTTTTTTAAACTTACAAATCAAGAATATTAAAAAAATAAAGTGCTTACCAAAAGTTAGGTAGTGCTACAAAACAAAAACTATGAAAAGTAAAATTCGTGATGGTTCTGCTGTGTTCAGAAAGGAAGGTGGATTTGCAAGCTTTGGCTTCTGCAGACTGTGACACAGTGCCTGAGATGAAGATACTGGGCAAAGTCATTCTTGATGGACTGCGGAACAAGTGGCGTAAGCCTCAAGTGAGTTCACAAGTTCACATGTTTTGATGAGCTTCAATTTTTAGAAGCTCCACTCACCACAAGCAACTGTAACAGGAAGTGCCTGCAGAATGTGTGGTGCTACCCAGACATTTGAGAAAATCATTATTTTGGGATCGTGACAGTACTGCAGAGGCAGAAAATGATGGAAATGGCCCAGACTTCAGACAGAGATCTGCACCATTGATGTTGGAGTAGTTGCCATCAGTCAGGGCCTGTGTAAAAAACAGCGGTGAGTTTCTTTTCTGAAAGCTTTTCTAAGATGTACAAGAGCCCTCATGGATTCTTGTGAAATCCAAGTGGCTTGAATTACTCTTCACCTGAGACATAAGCTGCATCGACCAGAGTGTAGAAGAATGCAGGGTGGAAGATTTCTTATGGATTCCTGATCATGAATCTGGCCCTCATATTCAAACGACCTCTTCTTGCAGAGTTTACACATGGCATCTTTCAAAGTGGCATCTACAGCAAGAGCTTCTGTGAGCTCTCTCACTGTGATAAGCAATCCACACAGTACCTCCCCTGTATGCAGTTATGTACACCATGCATTTCTTCACGGGAGAGGTAGCAGTTCCCATATTCACTCCGGAGCACAGCATGGTCTCGCTCACAATATTCACACGGAACCAGGGATCCATCCGTTGGTCTGCTGGACACTGCTTCATGGTGAAGATGTGTGTCTTTCTGAGGTGACCTTGGTACTTCTCTCAAAGCATCAAAAACGCATTTTGCCTGATATTGAGGAGGCTGCCTACCATCTATGCCATTTTGCCAGTGATTGCCTCCCAGTGGCTTAATGGTGAGGTTGGACCCATCAGTTGGGTTCACATGCCACTATAGGCAATCCTGCATGGTCACCATGGTCTGCATTTTTTGTCCTTCAGTCCACCAGTCGATCAGGCCAATGGTCTTCCTCTTGCCATCTTGTTCCCTCTCAGTTCTGCAGCAAGGAATGAGGCTTGTGTTTTTGGCAGCTGCACTTGCGGCTATCAAGAAATCTCTGCTGACAAACAAGGCTCATGCCCGGACATGCAGCAGAGAGGATGAGGGAGCTAATCAGGCACTTTCTCCTCCTGCTACAGAGAAGAACCCCTGGCAAGCACCTTTGATCTACCCAAAGGCAAAGCGGGGCGGGGGGGGGGGAATAAGCTGAGTGGTGCAGCAAAAAAGAGCTTGAGAAACCACTCGCATGAGCAGGAGGAGCAATCTGCTCCCCACTACGTGAGGGGCCCTCCATTCTGCAGGCCCACCAGCTGCTTGCTTACTCCTCCCCAAAGAAGGCCCTCAGGGCATGAGGTGGGAGGAGAGTGGGCACCCCTGGTAGCCAGGCCAGGTGACACCTGTCAGTGGTGCTCACCAGCTAGCCACTCAGCAAGAGCAACAGCACCACGTTGAGGCCAAGTGGCTCTCTGGTTCCGGCCCTCATAGCAGGATGGGTTGTGTTTTCCAGGCAGGAAGACAAGAAGAAGAAGCCGTTGATGACACAAGAAGCCATCACAGTCCTGAGAAACTGTGTAACAGACGGTTGCTGCTGATGGCGGTTTCTAACGGCTCTGATAAGCACTGTAGCATGGACTGTTGTGCTGTCCATTCAAACACATCCCATGCTGTGGCCGTCGCATTGGTTCAGGTACCAAAGGTGCTGGCTCACCTGATGAGGTGTAACCCAGCTGCTTCCAGGAGTGTCCCTGCAGTTCCTTATGCACAGATGGCCATTTGAGGAACGGCAGTGGCGGGTAAGCAACCGATCCTCCTGAAGATGCAAGGCAGGGAAACTGGACGGATGCAGATCCTGCAAGCTGTCTCGTATGATAGCTGGGCTAATTCATGCATTCAATACATGGAGGTTTTTTTAATATTTTAATTCCTGCTCCTGAATCTACATGCTATACACTGTTTCTTCTAAGGTCTCTGCTATTCTCTTATTCTGGGGGACTCATTTTCAAGTGGACTAGCCAAAAAACATGGATGGAATTAAATTTTTTCTATGCCGTCCATTACTAAAAATACTCTCTGGACAGCTTACAAGGGCTTCCTATACAATACAGGAAGAGGTTTTTGTATAAGTATATATTGCATTATACTATCAAAGGTTTTTTTTTAATAATTACGTCAGGAAGTTAGATGGCTTCAAGTTAGGGAACAGGCAGTAAAGACATTATTCTGTCTTTCAAATGGCTTGTGCAAATTACAAATTATCAGTGTAAATGAAGAGCAACCTTTTTGTGTGCCCTGAACTTCTGGTTGTTAGTCATAAATTGCCTTTCCATTCTGCTTATATAAATATTCATGCAAAGTTGTTCTTTTACACCCCCTGGATAACTTCAGAGGCAGGTTGAAGCGTGTACCCCCTGGTGCAACTCCAGGAACAGCAGGATGTTGTCAGTGGGTCCTTCTCTCCAGAAATGCCCCCCCCCATCTTCCTTGTCTGTGACCTTTGAAAATATCTCTCCTGCCTAACACAGGAGGATATCATTAACCAAGGCCAAATGCATGAAGCAGAACACAAAAATGCATCTTTTAGGATTCTTTAATGTAATAGAAGAAGCACCTGCTCTTTAAAAATGCAAACTCATGATAGCAACAATTGCTGATAGGAGAGTTTTGTGGTCATGACAGATTTCGCTTCCTCATCATGTGCT